CCACCCCCAGCCTACTTGCTGACAGGACAATGTGAGCAGCAGAAAAGGCCTCCACATTTTGCAAGTGCTGTTCAGCAATAACTAACACATTCCTGTGTTATCGACACKGTTTTGGTCATAAATGAAAAGCAGCACCACAGGAGCTCTGTGAAGAAAATAATTCTATCCCAGCCAAACACAACACAGCAGGATGCCAGACTGCACTAYGAGTTATAAGTGTGATTTGTAGCAAGGGGATCACAATAAAGGGGTGAGATCTTTGGTAAATGATACACCACAATAGCTCTTATAATTGTGTTAGTGGGTCTTGAAAGTTTATGATTTTTTAGCAGAATGTTTATTTAAATATCTCYTTCAAAAGACTTCCTTAATCCTTGAACATCCAACTATACTTCTAAACTGACGTGGTTTAATTTACAAGTAAAATTTTACTGTAGTTGCTTTCCCAGCTCCTGCTACTGTGTTACTGTCGGCAGGTCCAAGGTACTTATATCTTCTTTTAATKTGACCCTGGTTTGCAGGAGTTTTCTTGAATTTGAAAGGAGGAGAATACAATGGAAAAAGGTGAGGATTTGAAGGCAGCTAAGTTTTTTTTCTTCTTTTAACCCTATATTAAAATAAAAAAAATGTACTGTGTATCTCACAAATATTTTGAACTAATGTTTCGAAGTAACACAAGCAGAGTGAGTCAGGAAATTTATCAGAGTTTATAATTATAGTTGACTCTATTCAAGTTGYAAGGGGAATTTTCAGGTGAGAGAAGACCTAGTTCAGTTCCATTCTRTCTTCTCTTTCTTTGATAAGAGCATCCTAATTAACATCAAGAGTGCTGTAAGGTCACTCTTTTTGGACTTGGTTCACATGGTATCAAATATTTAAATGATCATTAATTCAAAGAACTGGGGTGTGAGAATGACCCTGTGCTCCTTGTTCAGGACATGTCCTTGAGATCTGCTCCAGCTTGTTTACTTGATGTAGTCTGGACTTTATCTGCCCCAGGTGACAGCCATTTATCCAAAATGCAGTAAGTTCAACTACTGCAGTAAGTACAGCTACTAACCAATTCCACTAGAACCACCTGGAAAAAGGTATTTGAAGCATTCTTTTACCCATCTGACACTAWGTCTGATTTGCTTGCCTGCTTGAAGAGATGGCTGAAAAACCTCACACAGAGCTCTGATTGATATGGTTTGGTTTGTTTGTGTCAGGAAAAAAACCCCTTTATTCCAGTAAGGCAGTGTACAGGGAGTTACAAGTTACCAGCACCATGAAAAAAATCAAATAGTTATATAGATCTGTATTTCATCCTTCCCACAAAACCAAGGTAGGATGGATGACAAGGAAACTTTTCTTTTACAGATCTATTATTTTGACAGTCCCTCTCCTGGGGTTCTGATTCTAAAAGGGTGTGAAAGGCTTTTCGTCTTTTCTGCTGCTGCAAAAATCAAGCTTGCTGGTTACAGAAGCATGATAAATAACAAAACAGTGCCCACAGGGCAAATCTGCCTGTCAGTACTAGCTGTGCCACTGAGAGGTGTGTGATAGATCAGGTGAGACGCATCACCTCGGAGATGCGATTTTGCTCCATCTAAAAGCTGATGCCTAGGTATATAAGTCCTTGTAGCTGGAAGTTCTGCTTTTAGTTTTATTTTCAAGARAGATGAAACTTAAATARTAATAATGATGATGAAGTAAATCTGCCTTATGTTAGAGAGGCAGTGCTGAGAGATTTTTAAGAGGGAAAGAAAGATAAGGAAGCAAGGAAGGCACTAGTTTGACCAGAGTGGGTGACAAGAGAAGGTGCAAAGGCACACAGCTAGGATGGAGGCTGCCCTGGGCTACCCAGCACAGGGTTTGTCCCCTCCTGCTGCACAGTGCCATGTCAYTGCCACTCAGCTACTCCCAGCAGCTCAGTGTCTGCCACCATCCTSTGTCCCACAGCTGCTTTGGGAGGCTGGATTCAAGGCCTGAGGGAGACCTGTCTGCTGGTACCAGCACTGTCCGCTCAAACTCCTGCTCTCCCCCAGGGTTTAAACTTTAGCCATGCTCCAAAGATCTAGGATAATCATTAGCCAGAGAATCAATGCTGTTTGTTGCATAATCATTGTGAGGTGATATCTGTGAGTTCTATTTGCTCTAGCAAATAACAGATAACAGATCTAAAAGAAAGTCTGATGAAACACTTGAAACATAGGTCAGGAACCAGCTTGGAGCTGAGGTGGGAAGGCTATAAACCCTCCTGCTTCCCCAGCACCCAGCAGAACAAACTTTGCCATGTGTTTTTCCCTCAGCATGTTCCACAGCACCTTCTGGATGCACTCCTACCATATGGCTGAAGACACTTTCTGTTACATGTTTCAAGGAGATAAGTTTCAGGGCAATTTTAAAATCAGTGCTACCACTCTGTACACATGTCAGTATCTAATAGAAAACAATGAAATAACTAGAGGAAAAACYTGCACTGTGTGAATGCCTCTCTCCCTGGGCTCTCCTAACTAATACAAATAACTGTTGGAAATTTCATCATTTGGTGTGTAAAAAGATTTGCTTAGAATTTCATAGAAATGCAATTTTCAGCTGTGTCCCCCATTGTCATGCCTCCTTTCATTATAACCTCAGTGACTCCATGAATGGGTAGCTGTAAAAATGAAGGTAATAGCGATCAGATAACCAGCTCTGCTTTGCCTCAAAATTAGGAGGCTTTTCCTGTCTCACTGTTTTTTCAGGCTATGGAAATAAAGATGTGGTACAGCGAGGAAGATTGCACAGGCCACTGATACCAAATACTGGTACAACATATTCTGTCCATATCCTCTTGGACTGCAAAACTCAAGACCCTCCACCACTGGTACTGCCCAGGGAGCTGTCCTTCATGGCAGAGAGGCAGCTGTGGCAGTGATGCCCTGTGCAGCAGCACCTGAAGTAAAGTTCCCATTTTGGGATCTTCATTCAGCATCTGTTCTGCATAGATGGTATTGCCACCTATTCCTCTCTTGAGGAGAGGGTACCGTGTTTGATTTTTGGCTGCCAGGCCACTGAGCAATATGATTTACTGGAGAGATCTGCCCACCTGCGGTGCTGGCTCCTGGGATGAGGCTACCAGAAGAAACTGGGAGCTGGCAAGTGCAGCCCCTTTGTGTGGTTCAAGAGCCACACTGGCTACGTTTGTGCAGTTGTTCCCTGGCATTGACTCTCACTAGTCACATCAGGGTTGGGGCACTGGGCATGGCTTATTGGGCAAYCAGGGCCCTGCCCCACATTGGTTTATTCAGCAATTGCTCTCTCYGCAGGGAAAGTAAAGCAACTTAATCCATCGTTTTGCCTCAGGTGTGTACTGCCCTGTTATAACTTGACATCAAGGCTCTCTGTGATCATGCCAGAAATCCTTGTCAACTAGTATCCCACCAGCAGCAGCCACCCTAAGATGGCTATGGAAGAAGGTTTTCATACCATGGCTCTCACCTTTTCCCATGTCTGGAAGCCATTTCTGTGTGTTCAGTAACCCCCAATTCTTTGCTTCTCCATTCCTCATTCATTGCTCATCCATTGGCCTTGAAAAACTACCTTGAAACGATGTAAACTCTATGTTTGAAAGCTGACACTGGCAGCTGGCAGAGGCCAACCTTCCTGTCCATAAGGTGAGAGGAACAGATGGCTGTCAATGCACTCTGAGCTCACTGGAATCGCAAACGCCACCAGGAAGAAGAAGAGGGCAGCAGAGGAGATAGTCAGCACCACTAGCTCCACTGCTGCAGTGCATGCTGAAGGAGCAATGCATTTTTGGGATGCCACAAGGCCATAAACACCATCACTCTCCTAGGGGTAGCAGCTGATATACTTAACTTTTTAAAAGCTGATTTACTTAACTTTTTAAAAACTGATTTACTGCTGATAAGCCTGACAAGCTTTAAGCCTTTGATAGTGGGCTGTGGGCAAATTCCTGGGAAAGAATGGAGCCTGGAAGAGATCGTCCTGTCTTGTGAAGTCTACCCTGGCTCCAAGTACACACTGAGGGATGACACAGAAATACTTCCTTGTGGGTAAGCAGGACACAGGTGGCATCCTTGTCATGGCAGGCTGGTTCACATCCATGGAGTCCAACATATTTAGCAAGGAATCACAGTTAACATAAATCACAAAAGAGCAGCAYGGATATAATCCCTGTCATGCTGGCATTTCATCATAACTGTGCTCTATTATTCTCCGATAAGAAAATTACAGACTTTGTTTTTCCTTTTGAAGTCAGAACAAGGCATCTCTCACAAAGATAAGTGTCTGGGGCTAGTCCCCCTCTCAGGCTTATCGAGTACTAAGATGCTAACCAGGAACTTCCATTAATTTGGGTCTGTGCATTCCTCCCACCAGTCACTATCGTTTACAAAACACAGCTCCATTAGAAGTGACTTACTTAATCTGATGGATGTTGTGCCAGCATTAACACATGCTGATATACTGACAGCAGCTGAAGCCTTGGTACAAGACTAAGTCAGATAATGGGAGACTCATTCTTAATGAATCTATTCAAACAGACTCTTGACAGCACAAGCAGATCTGTGAAAGGCCTTTATATACAAACAACACAAAGGGAATTCAGGACTTCTGTGACACAATCCCGACTCTTACATGTTCTTCTGGGTGTTAACAACTACATGTCTTAACATGTTATAAAACCAAGACCATTTTATGCCATTTTGTCTGGAAGTATAAACTGTTAGAAGAGTTTGACTCAGTAAATGTGTGGAGGGGATGCTGTTCTCTAGCACCAAGTTACTACAGTAACTTAACCAATTAAGTGCACTTAACCACAAGGCAAAATTCACATTTTTGTCTGAATCTGTAAAGTGTAGCATGACACCAACTTTTTTTACATGTGCATCTTTCAGATATTCCTTGAGGCTATTTGGGAAATCCCAGTCCTTGCTCTATCTTTAAAMTCTTTATTTGCAGTAGGAAAGTTAAGTATTTTCACTGGTAGCTGTTTGAATAAAGATTTAAAAAATCCAGTAGAGTTCTTTATTTTAAGATTGCAGAAAAACCCACAAATATTAGAAAGTCAGAAAAGTGGTGACCACTTAGTATTGCAGGCTTGCTTAGAAACAGATACATATTTCAGATATAAATACACTACATTTTAAAAGTGTAGTGGAAGAGATAAATAACCAACAGGTCCAAGCAAACAGGTAGCCTGATATGTTTGGAAATACTACTCCACTTAATGTAATGGCCCATCTGTCATGGTTGAGCACTGCCATGGTTCCTAATTTAAATATTTATGGTTTTGAACCAACTTTTTCATAATTATGAGTAAAATTAAGCACACTGAAAGCATGTCTAGTCAAAGGCAGACCACACCAGTAGAAAAAAACACTGCAGCTGCAGGAAAACTCCAGGAGATGGAGACAATCTGAAAACTCTGCAGATCTGCAGGCTTTGCAGTACCTTGTGACCAGCTTGCTGATCTTATAGGTAAGAGATAAACATGGTACCAAAACCTCATCTAAATTACTTCTACTCTGAGAAAACATGAGGAATGTAGACAGCTTTTCCTGTAGAAAATTAACTTCAGAATGTTCCAAACAGCATAAAAATATTTAAATGTGCATATATACATACCACCAAAGAGTGCAGTACTGTCTCCTGCTTTTACCATAAACTTCCAGCAAGCAAAGCAAACTCAAGTATTGCAGAGCTAAAGGGGGCATCCTCTTGTCCTGTCACAGGCAAGGAAAGTTGCCATTTCACTGCACTGGTACTGACATTAGTGGAACCTCTCACACACACTAGCCTGTACTTCTGTGCCTTTGAATTCACAGACACAATTCTAAATACTTAATTGCACCTGTAAATCAGATCCTACAGATGTCTAAGGGCCATAAACTTTGCTGGCAAAGCCACTGACTGAATCTCTGGCTCTAAAGCTAAGGTAAACCTTTTCTGTTTCTCATAAGTTAAATCAAGTGGAAAATGTACATAATGCAAATGCTTACTYGCCCATGTCAGTGTAGACCACACCAAATAATGAAATTTTTACACTGAGGTGGCAAAAAAATGGCAGTCCTCAGTTTTTTTGCTACTTGCTCTCTTTAACCATTGTGGTAATGTGCAAGTATTTACTGCCTAAGTTACAAATTCGATAACCAGAAGTTGTGACATCTCTTCAGAAGATCAACACACCACTGCCCTGAAAACATGGTAGCTTTGGTGGCCTGGGCTTCTCAGGAAGATTTCTTAGCAAAGCTCAGGAGGAGCTACCGTGGCCCACAACAGAGTGGCAAAGACACAATAAGAAACTGATTCCCCTCACAGGAGGACTTCAGATACACCCAACAGCAGTTCAAAAACCTAATTTGTGCTTTGTAGGCTACTATTCATCCCTAGATTTGTGACTTTTTTTCCTCTTTTCCCATAATCATGCAGCTCTGGTTATGAAGCATTGTTACACTGTCTGAATAATAAAAGGCAATAACAAAAATAGCAAACCAGGAAAAAAAATATTTCCCTCATCCTCACACTTCAAAAGGATCCCTGCCAATGTAACATAATAACACCAGATTTCCTCACTTGCTTCCTGGTCATATAGTCCATATTTATACAAACTAGTGCAAATGAGTATATGTCATTCTGGAAGCTCTGGCAAATTTGGATCTCATGGACAATCCCGAGGCAGGATGCCTGCAGACAGAAGGGTGCTGGACACTGCCACTGCTGCAAGGAACCCAGGCTATGAGCGAGTGTACTGCACTGTGCTGTATTTGGTGACCCTGGAAGACTTGCTCAGTGTGGCACTGGCAGGAGGTGGCCCYTCYAACTTGGAGCCCGTCAGGTTAAGCRGGGAGTCTGTGATTACTGCATGCTCTTGCCTTCCTGAGCTGGCACCTGTCACCTGTTCAGCTCTGCTCTGCAGCCCTGAGGCTGTCACCATCCCTTCTTTCAGCACCGTGCTGCGTTCCTCTGTCAAAGCGGGGAAGCCGAGGGAGCCCTGCTCTGCAGCGGGCACCAGCACCCTCTCTCGCTCCCTCACCACGACGTACTGGGAGTCAGAAAGATCCTGAACTGTCAGGGCTCCTGGCCCTGCACCTGCCGACTTCACCAAACTCTCTGTAACCACCACGTTACTTCCRTGAGGCAAATCAGGGATTTTCACCATACCCTGGATGCTCGATGCAGGTGCCAGCACTCTCTCTGTCACCACTACATTCTCCTTAAACTGGGGRCCTAAAAAGACGGCGGGCGAGCGGGCAGGAGCCCCCACAGAGTAGGATGTTTCCGTCATGGTGACATTGGTCTCTGTGTGGCCTGTGGGAAGGTGCTGCACATTGTGCTGCCCAGAATGGGATGATGAAAAGGCTGTTTCTGTGACCACCTCCTTGGATAGGGTGCTTTCTCCTGTGCCACTGCCTGCGTGCACTGCTGGGATGGACTGGAAATGACTGCCTGAGGCAAAGGCTTGTTCAGAGCTGGAAGCATTTTGCTGATCTAAGAACTGTGACTTTGCTTCACTAAACCCAAAACCTGATTCATTCTTGGAGCCACCATCTTTCATGTTGATCTGTCTGCCTATACATATTTCTGCTAGAGTCTTAAATTTGTCTCCTAAATCATCAAGAAAATGGTCATCAAGATCCCCCTCAATAAAACTGCAGCAGCCAACGGATCCATGAGGGGAGCCTGATTCTCCCTGGGAATAAACCAGGAGACAGTCTTTYGCAGCTTGCTCTTCATCTTCATCCGCAAAAGAGACAGCTTTCTGCAGATAGAAAACAAAAGCAAACAMAAGTTCATTAATTACAGCTCTAGACTTAAAAATTTTGAAAAATCAGAAATGCTTGGTCAAAAAGGTTGAAATAAAAAAAATAACTGAAGACACAGAAATTGCCAACCAAGCAAGGACTGTACCTAACATAGCATTTTGTTTTTCTGAAATTATTTTGAACTTCACAGTACACTTGCCTGAGAAGAAAAATCTGAGATTAAATTTAAAACCTTGGATACCATCAGAACCTGCTGTTGTTCCCTCCAGTAAATGTGCCATTTGTGATACTGCTCCATATTAACGAATAAATTGTTTTAGCTTTAGTTCAGTGAATGAACTTCACCTCTATCTTGGTTTTTGTGGAAGAATGCCAAGACCATTTCTGAGAGTGTCCTAACATTTACACAAACATTTAATGAGCTGCCTGTTATCCCCTCCCATGGCCCCTTTCACTAGCGCAGCCTACAGGATCACACCCAGGATACCCAACAGGAAACAAATCAAAAAGTTAAATGGATCAGTAAAGTATGGGTGCATAGTCCATCATGTAAATTCTTAGGCTCTATGCAGGCCACCTGGCAACGAGGAAGGCTCACAAGTTCTGACTACAGTGCCYACAGTGTCAGCTCAAGCTGAAAACAGTGTCTGCCATGGAGCTGCTGCGGTGCTGGCACAAATATCCGTGTATGTGTTTGCATCAGCTCCAGTTCCAAAAGTGAAGACAGCCAAATCCTCYGGGCCTGCTGAATCAGCTTCACCTAATATGGCTCCTGACTTGTGTTCAGAACCATCTTTCTGCCACATTTGAAGTTCTGGACTGTGAATTAGCTCAGGCATCTATGTAATGTGGTATACATCCAGACCCAAATTGACTCTGCATGTTTATCTGCATTTGATCCTGGAAGTAGGCACATGAATGACCCAAGATTCTGCCACAAAAACCAGCATCTGAAATAATTTGGTTTGGTTACTTGTCTGTTTCCCCACCCCTATAATCAGATATTTTAGCTTCCCAGAACCTGTATGGACTACTGAGTATCATCTCCCTCCTGCAGGACTCCATCAGGCAGCTATATGCTTTAATTATGTCACAAAGAGAGGAAGAAAAGCAGATTGCTACTGCTGCATCTGTTCACCCAGAGCACCAGAGGCAAAGGCACTTGGAGACATACAAGTACCTAAAGTTCAAATCCTTCCCTGGCCTGAGGTGGTGATTCAAATCTGCACAGCTACTCCCCTGTAAAACCCCATCAGCTGCCAGCTGTAGGGTGTGAAGACATTTTGTTTCCACAGGTGGTGGAGCATGGAAATCAAACTTTCACTACAAGGAGCTCACCAGCCAAAGGACTAACGATGTGCATAACACAAAGAAGGAACGGTTACAACAAATAGGAAAAACCTACAGGCCAACGGTTAGATCAGTAAAAATTAAAAAAAGGGATTGCAACATATGCCTCATACTCCTTTGATGAATGGCCCTTTACCCAGGCTGCCGGGCAAACAGATAAGTCAGCACGACTSACTTTGTCAGCTACTTTGAAACTACAGCCCCACCCACTGGCGTATGACATCTTCGGCTTATCTTTCAAAAACCTGCTCCTTGTAGCTRTGACTCATGATGAGTCACGGGCACCTCCCTAGAGACTGGTTTAATGTGTTTTAACTCCCTGAGATTTAGATCACAGAGTCTTTCTCAGGGCTTTTTTCTGGGCAAGGCACTCCTTGGCCATTGCTGAATATTCTGTATCCCACCCCCAAGTACCTTCCTTGAGAGAGAAGATCTAGTTGTGTGACACCTYGCAAGCGCTCAGGGCTACAAGACTGAGCACTGTCACACTCCAAGTCCCACATGTGTGGCTAATMAAAAAATCATTAATGCCCCCAACTCCACATGCACAGTATCAGGACTGTTTGTACATACACATATCTACTCATCTCTTTGTCGTAACATGAACGAAATTTCACAATGCTAAGTGTAAACTTCAAAATACTGTTATTTTTGGGTCATATGCTTACATCATTGAAGTAGTCTCTTAAGAATTCTTCATTCATGGCTCCTGCCGCTCCCACAGCAACTCCTCCTCCAGACATGACTGTCTTGCCATCTACACTTGTCATGCCTTCAGCCGCYCCAGCTGCCATGGCTCCATAGTCTGCACCAGAAAGAAGACGCCTTTGCTCTTCCCATCTTTCCCTGGTGATGGTGCTACGATGCTCTCCTACATGAGAGGCAGAGCTGCCTGCTCCTATCACAGCTTCTTCTCCACTCATTCCTCCTGCTGCTGCTCCTGTTGCTGCTCCTCTCAAGTTCCCGAGTGCAGTGGGTGTAACGAAGCTTAGCACTGGCTACATAAAGAAGACAAATTAAGATGTGACATGAAAGSTTTGCTGTCTAGCATGTGGAACTCACCAAACAAGCAGTGGGGCTGGGTGGGAACGGGGAGGGTGCTGTCTTACGACTTGTTTGAATTTGCACTCATACGTGTTGCTGCAAAGAGCAAAAGGCCTCCTAAAACAGGGTGTAGCTTCCACAAATGTATTGCCAAGAAGGTTCATGGAAATGTTTCCATAGACCATGTTTTCTTGAAACTCAGAAGATTAAAAATTAAAAAAAAAAAAAACCAAAAAAAAAATCCCACCAAAAAAAAAACTTGCAAAACTCCATGGAGCTCAGCTGTTCCAAGAAAAACTCTGCCCAGTTTTCCTCAGAGATGAAGTGGGGAAATGCGCACTGCCTGCCACCTCTGAGATGCTGCCTGGCCCTTTCTTTTTTCTACCTGTTTGGCTTCCCTGTTAATTATCCTTTAACAAGACTTTGGTGYGAGCATTTGCCCTAAATCAAAGTATTTTACCTTCAGTTTCTATTATTGTGCAAAAACATGTCAGTGTCATGCCCTTAGTTTGAAAACCTTGTTTTGTAGTATAACAATAAAGGGTGAACTTCACTTGGCATTTACTGTTCCCTCTGCAGAYTTGTACCTTTTTATGCCTTTTTCTTTTTTATTAAGGAATTTCCYCTGTTTAAAAAAGAAAATACACAGGGAAGTAATTTAAAACAGTCTGAAACTTTAAACCAATGAAGGCAAGCTCAGCATTATAATCTATTATTTTGGTGGTTTATCATACTCCCAAAGGGGTGCAGAGCATTCCAGGCTTGCAACAGCAAATGCTTCACTCTCTATTGGTTCAATACTTTCCCCACAGTCCTATCTTCTGCTCAGATATGATCAACATTTGCTTGATTGCTTTCCCTATACTTTGGGATTTAAGTGCTATGGTGACTGTTTCTACAGCTGCTGGTGGAAGTCGTCTCCCACACATCCTTTGCTGACCTTCACAGGGTTAATTTTAATCAATGTTACATGTTGTTAAAATCTGTTGTAGAGCTTTGAAATATCCACCTGTAGTGTGGAAGAGGCACCAAGTGCCAAACTGAACACTGGGACAGAAATCAAAGAGAAGGGCTATTAGGGATACATGCCTTCTCCTCAGGAGCTGCTCCTTCGCTGTTCCACTTACGCAGCATCGCTTCACTGTGGTCTGGTATTTCAGCAAATGTCTTTGCTCCACCAAATCCCTTTGCTCCCAAGCCACCAGGACACAGCAGCAGTAACAGTGGAACAACTAGAGGGAAACAGAAGGTTGCCAATTAACTATTATTAGGACCTAAGCCATACTAACAGCCATTCTAAGTTTGTTCAGCTCCTATACCCAAATATATTTTAAATGAGCTACTGATCAGTATGAGGGCTACAAGGACTGAAGACTGGCTCCCAAATGTTCAAGGCATTTCCTGAAGCATATTCCAGGCCAGTTTCCTAGAGAGCAAACTGACAATCAACATGTCAGGGCCTGAATTCTGCAGATGACCACACATGTACGTAGCTGTAACACCAAAGATTTCACATACCAAATACAAGCCCCAGCTATCACTGTACAACCTCAGCATTTCTAACTCCTCCTCTTCTTTTACTACTAGATAACAACATGGCATCACGTAAATTCCACCTCACCACTCCACTGATGTGCCTAGAGCATTGCCTGTGGGACTTCTGCAGTTTCAGAAGCAGAAAATACTATTCCTGTAGCATGAACTTTGTTTTATCACAGTTAGATTGCTGCCAGCACAAGCAATAAACTATTGCGAGTTTAAATGCAGCACCGCTACACTTGGCCATACCATAACTACAAATATTCTTCTCTTATTTCTCTTCTRTTTTATCTCACCAAAGAACAATGTCACATGCTGCTCTGAGCAAGGCAGTGAATCTGCAGTGACCGAGAAGAGAGTGGAGAATGTGCTGTGGTTTTAGTAGGAAGAGTTAGGGTTCACCTGGGGACATCTGGGAATACCAAAAGCATTCCTCACTGCTTCCCCACCTGTTATTTACAGCACCATAAACAACTATTAAAAGTTGTTCATATTAATTTTAAGATGCATGGCTTGAAATCTTTTGAGGGTGAAATGCTGATATTACCAAAATTAGTTGGGGATCTCCTAGGACTTCACACAAGACTGAGAGTTCATGCAGAATGAATCAAGATGATAAAACCTGGGAACTGGACTGTTTCTTTCGAGATGCTTTGCAGGCCACATTTACAGTGCTTAGGAGATAATAGGAAACAATTACTTACGCAGCAAAAGTAAAAATGCCAAGATGATTAGTGCAACCGCTGCTGGTCCCAGACCCACCGACTTTGCGCCAACAAACTTCTCCTGGCACACGCCCTCATCTGCACACTCACAAACAGTCAACTGCAGAGACTGAGGCACAGCACAGCTGACCCCTTGGAAATCCTTTATTAGCATGGGAACTTCAGTTCTGCCCGGCTTCAGGTTTTGTGGTATCAGCTGTATACTGGTGTCTGAGGTGGAAGTGGAGGGAGGTTAAAGTGAAATAAAAAGACAAGAAGTGATCAGAGAGAAAACTGACTCTTGTAAACTAAGTAAAATACAACTGTTACAGTCTCCAAAAAAAMCCCCTCCATTTAAGTCCAGCTAATGCAATGGAATTAAGTTTAATCAGCCGCTTCTACAGTATATGTGCTTTTATTTTCATCAAGTAATTCRTGCTGGTAAGTGAGCAGCCATGTTCACTCGGAGCCTCAGATAATTGTCAAGTTTCACACCACCAGAGACCTAGCACGGAAGACAGCCCAATCACCTGCATGGCATCAACCACTTCATCTGCATAGATAAAAGATGAACTCACAAAAAACAAGCCTCAGTCTTTAGATTATTGTAGGCCACACACAGAGATCAGGAGCCAACAAAACACCTGCTCCTGTGGCTATGTCGTGTCAAGGACTAACTAGGCAGAAGATCACTGAATCACAGAATGGGTCAGGTTGGGAGGGACCACAATGGGGTATCTGGCCTAACCTCTGTGCTCAAGCAGGATCATCCTACAGTGCATGGCATAGGATTGCATCCAGACAGTTGTTGAGTATCTCCAGTGAGGGAGACTCCACAATCTTTCTGGACAATCTGTTCCAATGCATAGTCTCTTGCACAATAAAGAAGTTCCTCTTTTTATTCAGGTGGAGCTCCCTGAGCATCGGTTTCTGCCCATTGCCTCTTGTCCTATTGATTGGAACCACCAAGAAGAGCCTGGCTCCATCCTCTTGGCACCCTCCCTTCAGAYATTTACAGACACTGATAAGGTCTTCTCTCAGTCATCTCTTCTGGAGGCTGAACAGGCCCAGCTCCCTCAGCCTGTCCTCATCASAGAGATTTTCCAGTCCTTTAACCATCTTGCCCTTCACTGGAGGTTTTAGGAGCTCCATGTCTCGTACCAAGGAGCCACAACTGGACACAGCACTCCGGATGTGGGCTCATTAGAGGGGCAGGATCGCTCGGACCAGCTGGCAATGCTCTTCCTAATGCACCCCAGGAAACCATTGATCTTTTTGGCCACCAGGACACATCGCTGGCTCATGGACAGCTTGTCATCTATGCCCAGATAATGCATCACTGCATGTTTTGCTTGAGAAGGTGGAGATAGCTTGATCCCAGCATAACTCATGAAATCCTGGTCACCATACATACGGAATCAAGCCAGGCAAAGATGGTCCAGCTGAGGGACCACCAGAGACACTGACACCCCAGAGAACTGACTGGGCTTTTATAACCTTCAGAGAGAAGGAAGCAGAATRCAAACGRTGGTCTTAATGCCTGATTCCATACMTAGGTGGGGTGTTTTTTTTGTTGGTGTGACTCAGCCAAACTGTCAGTTTGATTGGAATTGATAAATTACAATTTTAGGACTTCAAAGAACTGAAAGCAATTAAAAATACATTTCCTTACCATTTCCAGATGCAATTATCCATTTTTCTGCTGTTCCTTCTGGCTCGTCAAGGACAGTAAAGCTGAAGGGGTAACTGTAGGGGTAACCATCCAARTCACTAGCTGTAACATCAACTAATTTTGCATCGGAACACACAGTCTGCACAGGGTTCACAATAACCGGGCAGTTATCATTCTCATCTTGAACTTGAATGACGACTGTGCCAGTGATCGTTTTCTTAGGGGAATCTAAGATTTTCAARTATGAAAAATTAAATTGTTTTGTGCACATTTCACCTTAAATTTCATCTTAATGTAAAAAAAATAGTATTTTCCAAAACACAAACATTGGAGAAGTAAGTTGAAAGAGCTCTCTCCAGAGCTTATGAGAGCAGTGTTTTATTCCCAATGTTAATAAATATATGGACTAAGTTCTTCTGAAGACAAGCTGTGTTATTACTTTAACTTGAAAAAAAAAAAATCCTGTATGGTTACACAGTAACATGCAGATTATAAATGAAGAATTCTATTTAGATACACAAGAAGGTCAGGGAGTCTTTCTTACTTAGAACTGAAGAAAACTTAGGACTATGAAGTCTGATTATTGGCATATTGAAATATTGCAATTCCCACCTTGACAATAGATTTTTCTTATCAGACTTAATTTTGAAAACTTTTATAAAAAGTTCACCTCCATCAGTCAAAGAGGAGAAACAGACACCTTGGGAAGACATTCCAGGGTAATGAGTTGCCCSTGTCTCTCCTCTGAACACCGAGACTGCAGCTGGTGCCTAACTTTAAAGATAGGTAAAACCAACTACCCTTGTAGATAGGCAAACAAACCAATCAGTGTGAAAACAAAACCCTCTAACTTACCTGTAGTTACACCCAACATGGTGATAATGTAGGTACCATTAACTACGTAAGGTGATTCGTAATCAAGATTTTTAGCAAGTCGGATTTCACCTGTGACTGAGTCTACAGTGACCCAGTTTGCTGCATCTCTTCCTTTCATGTATCTGATGAAGAACACACAAAGATGGACAGATTTATGATGAGGAAAACAACCATCAGTGGAAAAAAGCAGCTTCACAGTATATTCACTCATCATTTAAAGCAGAAATCAAATCCCTAAGTCTGAGGTCTGATGCTCCTGCCACTGCAACTGGCTACAACAATAAACCTACCCTGAAYACTGAGAGCTGCTTTTCTCTCTAAATCAAAGATTTTGGTATRGCTGCATCATAGAAAGTACAGTCAGGGAGTGAGMSYRGAACAGGAGAGGGAGCTGCRCTGCTGGTCAYYGTCCTTTGCCACTCCATCCATGTTYCCAGCAAAAGCTGAGCATTAGCCATCCAGGAAAGACTGTATTACAGGCATGGGGGAAAAGGGTCCACCCCTGGGTGTGCAATTCTGCTGTGCACTATTTGTAAAGGTRGTTCAATAACATTGTAGCTAAAGAGCTATGATTCAAAACACAAGACGTGATTCAAAACCCAAGCACACACCTGCAGACATAACTGTGTTACACCCTTTCTGACTGACTGAAAAATGTTTCTGCATATTTCTTCCTAATTTTACTAGAGACAATGAAATCAGATGGGTAAATCTACTCTCAGAAGTACACAGGTATGACAAACACATCATCCAAACACAGACTTCAGCCCAAACACTCACATCTCACCATATACAAAAAAAGGAGGATTTTCATACCACCTGTTTTCTGCATAATAGAGTATTGAAGATGATGATAACGATGTTGTTTAAGGTGTGAATTATCCTTAGTGGAAAAGTATTATCTTTGAAATTATTTCAGTTCAACATCCAAATTTTTACAATAAATGTACTGCTGACATACTCAGTTATAATGGTTATAAAAAAATTCTTACGTAATGCGCTCTGCTATTTTTCCTGTGTCTTCATCATAAGCTTGATACTGTCCAATAACCTGTTTTATCTGCAGTTTCTCACTTGCTTCAATAATTTTTGTGCCACCAGGGAACACTGGGCCTTCCCGCACATTAATCACCTTAATTTTGATTGGAATTGTTTCTGCCTTRTAACTGGGTTTAATCGACTTGTGGAACTCTGCTTTGTTTGTAACAACAACACCCAAGTTTAGGCTTTGCATTTTTTCATAATCCAGCTCCTAGAGCAATAAAGAAAATAATAAAGAAAACTTAGAAATTGTCAGAATCTAATATCTAGACAACTGATATACATTTAGTACATCATTTAGTTAAATAAGAGTGTAGTCTCCTTATTTAAGTAGTAAGGATGTAAGCATTTAAGTAACATTCAAGCAATTAGGATGTTACAGTGTGAGGAAGGTTGTTAACATGTTACTCTCACTCATTTTTAATGGCTAACAGCATAGGTATGTCTCTATATTATCGAATTAAAATAATTTCAGGTGTGTGCAAGGAGTCCTACCCATATATTCTGCCTGTGCTTTCAGTGAATCCGTGATCAGTTACTTGGCTCTTCCAAATGTATGTTTTGGGTTTTTTTAAACCAAATCATTCACTTAATAATGCTCAAATTATTTTTTTTAATAATTAGCGGTTTTCGGATAATTAAACCAGAGCAGAGAAAAACCCGCTACCTAGGGCACTATACATCTCCACTTCTTGTGGACTCAAGAAAAGTGAAAATTATAAAATAGATATTTCCAATTTTGGAAAATATTTTCATCATCATTTCAACTTACGACAATTCATAAAATAATCTGTAGCCCATGGCTCATGGAACAGATGCTGCCTGCAATATTATCAGTGGCCAGGGGAAATAAAGAAATTTATACTGAGATCATCAAGGACAGCAAAAATGTGCAAGTTTACAGCATGTTAGCACTTTTGCCCAAAGGACAAGGGAAGTCTGGGGACTTCTGCCTAACTAGATATATTTGAGATCACACAGAAGGCAAACAGAAAACCTTGATAAAAATACTATTTTTCATGGAATTACTGAATATATTAAAATATGGCAAAGGAGGAGTATCCACATATTTTACATATTGACTGAATAAACACAATTTGTCAACATAGAAGGATAAATTATTCTAATATTTAAAGAAGGATTTCCAAAAATTTGTACTAACCTTCACAACAGTCAAAATTCCTTCATTTGTTTGTTTATCAGTTACAATTTGGAAAAAACCRTCTTCGTTTCCAGAAACAAATGTAAAGTTTGCGAGCCAGTTATCAGAAAACTCTTCATCTTTGTCAAATACTTTTATTCGCATAATTTCCACATTTGCTCTGTTTTCTTCAATGCTTCCCTCAAACTGCAATTTAAAAAAAATCCAGTCTTTAAAAGAGACTGTCATGGTTTTACATCATTTCACCGGTGCAAGGAATCTTGCACAATATTATGGGATGCTGGCAGGTATAGGAACATGCCAAATATTATGATAAATGTACTTACTGTGCGGCTTTCAACAACAGGCAGATTGTCATTGACATCCAAAATCTTGATTTCTAAAGAACATGTTGCAGCATTSCCACCTGCTTCACCACCACGGTCCTTTGCTTCCACCACCAAAGAATAGCTACTTTGTGTCTGTCATGGTAAGAAAAAGGTGTTTAATCCAGGCTAAAAATTCTTCCTTTACTATATTACCTTTATTATGTTTTGGTAACATCTCTTATGATCAATTACAACTCCTCTCTAGCTAGAAGTAAATCTCTCACACAAGTACCTTGACAGATTCTGCTGAAGTAGAACTGAGGTTATGAAAAGGATGTGTGGAAGGGACTTTCACATCTTCCCTACAAAGAGTCAGACTCTACTTTCCTAGCAAAGGGAAAAAATTCAGTGGCCATGAACAGGCGTGTGATTAGGGACATTTGCATTTCTGGGCATGGCCAGAGGCAGAGCTAATATTGCCATCACCATCTGCTGGCCAGGGAAAACTCTGCAAGCACAGGTTGTGTCACTGGTAATAYGTGGCTTCCAATGCAGTTTCACAGCAGCACCTGTCCTAACTCTTTGCACCGCAATTTGCATAGAAGGCTACAAAAATCCAGGAGCAATCAGCAGCTTTCCAGATGGTGATCTGGGCTGACTTTGCCATACACTCTCCAGACCCTTTGTTTTGTGTAACTGCTGCCTGGCTGCACAGGACGGACAGAAAGCTACAGCCATTGGGCTGGTACTGTCCAGGGAGGTGATGGGGGGAATACAACCTTGATCCCATCACCTCCTCTCTCAATGCCTGAAAAGCATGCATCAGGCAGACCAGGCTTTAATCCCAAGGGAAGCTCAGAGGACCAGTTCACCACCCTTCAGGTGGGGCTGAGGGTGACAACAAGCATCAGAAAACCACTACCAACAAACATTAAAACTGAAGGGTTTTTTACCTCTCTGTCAAGGTTTATTTTTGCTACTCGAACCTCGCCAGTATTCTTATCCATGCTGAATGCAGCRCTAGGGCTTTGGGAAACAATCCTGAAAGCAATTTTGGAATTYAGGTTATTCGGTTCATCTGCATCTGTTGCATTTATCCTCATTACAATTGTACCTGAAATACAAACAAAATATGACACTTGTTTACACCACCATGCACTGGCAAAGATCTTTATTGCAATATCAAAGATAAGCGCATTTTGTTAGATACACTGCACAATTTTCTGATGCTCTTGCCTTTATTTATTTAATGCATGAAGTTAAAGTGCTCCTAAACCCAAAAGGTATATGTTAAAAGCATATGTTCTAGCCAAGATAGAGATTATATCCTCACATYTCTGACTCACAGAATTCAATGAACAAATTGACAAGTCAAATTCTCTCAATAATTCTGACAGAAAAAATGTAGATGCCACACAGAGCAGAATGTAAAATTTTTGAACAATGAGCTACATTTCCCTCATGTATTCGTCAAAAGAGAGCACTAATAATTCCTCCACATGAACATTATTAAAACCATTGATATGTATTGATGCCCTACAATAGCTTCACTCAAAACACACACTGGTACCTACGGTGAAATACCCTCACAACTAATAGCATGGGGTTTTATACTTTGGGAGAGGGAGTACCAAAGCATCCAGAGTCCAAGTTTTAACATTAGTTGGAATTCATACTAAGAGCCACTACRTATGTCTGCTATTGACTTGAAAGATTGGTGAGGTTACTCAATACCTCACCTAATTGGATGGGCAAGAATTTATTTCTTCAAATTATAGTGACGTTAAAATGGACACACTGCCAGGTATTTATTAGGTTGKTTTATTCCAGCTCCTCCTATCTTCCTGCAAATAATCTGTTGCTCTTATGTTTACTGACGTCAATAGGAAAATGGCCATTTATTCTTCAATGGTTATGGCACAGCAATATGTGCTAACAGTAAAGCAGTAAAGCACCTCTCCAGCCCACAGATAAAAGTAGGGMTTTAGATGAAGATGGCAGAGTCCCTCCCAAAGTCCCTCCCAAACAGGCTGTGACAGCTAGGCAGATTAGGACTTCTCTGTCCAGAAGGCAGATTGCATTTCCTGTGCAATTCCTGCGGAAGGACTCTGGTGCCTGCATTTGTGGAAGCTTGGACAACAAACCAAAGGTACCACAAGAGGCAATATCCTCTCTTGCCCCTTGGGGGATGCTCTCTCTTAATCACACAACACATCTTAGCTCTGAATAAAAACTTTAATTCATACATGGCTTATGCCAGCAAGAGAATGTACCCTTGTTATGCAGAAATACTGCCGCAAAGCGCACATTCACTTGTGCCCTTGCATGTCTTGGGAAAAGCCAAGTGAAAAACGAACATGAAGTTACCTGTTTCACTTAATTCTTCAATTGAACCAACAAAAATTTCATGTGAAAACACTGGAAAATTGTCATTTATGTCCACAACTTTAATTGGGAGGTCTATTGGTTCTTCCAGTTTTGCCCCATTCTTATCTAGTGCGTGGCCTCGGACCTGATAATACACAAAGAAATAGTAATCCAGTTAGTGACTCTAATATCTATAAATATATATGCAAAATGAAGTATCTCTGTATTATAATACATCAGATCATATATCTTATATTACCATTATATAATGTAATGTAACRTAACATAACATAATATGTATTATATTATATATTACAAAATCTAAACATTATAAAAGCATATAATATATGCTACTAATACAAGCAGGTATACACGCACAAGTATCCGAAAATATATATATATATTATATATTATTTCAAGCAAACACATTTAAAGACAATAAATTAAAAATTAACAGGAGGGGACCTCAAAAGAAGAAAAATAAATTTCAACTTACAAGCAAAATCGGAGTCTTTTCTCTGTCCACCCTTCCTGTTATGTTCAGGTCACCAGTCTTTCCATTGATAACAAATAATCCATAAGGGGGTTCTGTTACTCCTTGACCAGATATTGTGTAAGTCACTACTATCCCTGTATCTTCAAGGTCTGAATGTATCTAGAAGAAATGTAACAAATTAAATGGAACTCATTTAAAAAAAAAAAACACATTTGAAAGTGCAACAAAATATTTTTGCTATCTTGTAATGAACAAATAAAAATAAATATTTAACAATTCAATGCACTCCTTTGACTGGGGAGATGTTGAGATGAATGCAGGAAGGGCTGCATGTTCTGTTTCAGAATCTGGTGTGGGGAGATGAGAAACATCTGGAGCAGGGAGATGACCAAGGACATGAGGCCTAAGCTAGCAAACATGACCAGGGCTGGAGAAGRGATAGGGTGGAGGAAGAAAGGTCAGACCTGGAGATGAACACATGTAAGAGGCTGCAGAGACTAGAGATTACACCCTTTCTCTGCTGTCAGCAGACACTCAAAACATCTGGARAAGTGTGCATTGTGCCAGCATCACCATCAAGAGGCAGGCCAAGCACAGGGTGGCAGCTTGCTACCACCTGTAGTCACTTTAATGGCAGGAGTGTGAATTTAGGTTTCAACACTGGTGCTGAACCCAATGCATATTATTCTTTCACAAAGGAYAACCCCTTGGTTATTTTTAGCTATTTCCTAAAAGTTTAGGCATACATAATCATGCTGTATGTACACCCTTCTGACAAATCATCACTTTTTGATTTGGGGCCCACTTGCCAAGTTCAACTCTAGCTGAGTAGGGCTGGTGGTATGAAAAAACTCAAAGATATGACACTCCCAAAAGCTTTATGAAAAATGGGGCTATGAAAAAAAGAGAGACTGAGCTAAACCAGGCTTTAAAAGTAAAGGAAACAGAAGGAAATGTGTCAATCTTCAACTGGCATTTAAGAGCCCTTTAAAGTTAAAGAAATATTTATGTATGTGTTTAGGGCAGCCGCACCCCTATTTTACATTTTCATCTCTATTTTTATGTATATTGCATATTTAACTCTTTTCTGGGCTTACTCTGGCAATTGGATTCTTATAGGAATTGTCCTCCTCCTCCCGTATGAAGGCTGGAGGGACTGTCCATTCTCGCTTCTGTCTGACTAGRCTGTTGGGATGAGCCAACATGCCACTCCTGTCATTTCGATTGTAAACCTGTGAAAAGACAAGATGGAATGTCAGCACTACATTTAGTCATTTCAGATAAATGCTTTATTGCTGCTGTAGCTAAGACTTCTGAATAACTTTTGCTCTTTCAATAGCTAGTAACTCCAAAATCATGGAGCAGCATCAGCCTTCTGAGTCACAATCTAAGAGCTACACAGCCCTCAGGCTGGTTAAAGAGGAAAACGACACTGGCCTTTTCATCAGGACAGAATTAGCTAAGACAGGCTTTAAATATATGAACAAGTTCCCATGACCAGTGGTTGGTGAAAATACACCTGCTCTGGAAGATTTAAATGCTTGTCATCAGTTGTGGGAAGAAGTTTGGCWCTAAGGCTGTTCTGAACCACCTTTTCTGCCTTACCACCGTGTTTATCTTTCATCAGTGTTGCTTTCCATATTCAGCTTTCTCTCTGAAAGAGAATAGATGGAAGGGCAGGCTTCTACTCAACCCACCCAATGTCTCTGCTATCCTTGCTCAACTGCTCCTCATTTCCACTCTGCATGACACCCCTCATCCTTCCATCTACCTCATCTCTACTGTCTTTGCTGACTTCCAGATTTGCCTTAGTCTTTACTGTCTCTGTTGACTCTCAGATTAATATATTCAATAAAATAGGGGCTGTTTTCACTTACCGAGTTCAAAAAAGCAATCTACAAATTTAATGTGTTAGGGGAAGTTTCTAAAAGTTCAATGCCACTCACTGTGATGGAATCTAGTTACTTGTTTTTCAGCCTTCATTTCTTTATTCATTATCAGCTTTCACATTTCAGAAAATGGTAAAATTCAGGACATTTATCAAATGAAATAAGGCATGGCTTTGATACTTTTCTCAGACAACCCTTATTCAGGCACTGATAAAAAAAAGGTTTTCCATTGCATCCTACCTTCACATGGAGCCCATTTCCATAATTCAAACAGACCTGCAATGGAAATTATGATAATCATTATTAATTCTATGTCACTTCAGCAGTACTAAAACTTAACTAATGTGACCTCCTTCATAAAAGCAGCAAAGCCATAAGGAAGAAGGCTATTCACACATATAAATTAATGTTTATTATTTATTATTTACCCATAATTGCTTCTGAAAATTCAACCATAACCATTGACATTGAAAACATACACTCTAACGATATAACTATTAAGCTTGGCACCTTTTTTCCAGCAGGAAACAGATTATAAACAATTTATATATTTTTTTTCTACTAAATTCCAGCTTGATAGTATTTTTTAAATAACCATTTTTTTTTAGTGTTGAATAATGCTTCACTATTCCAAAATGATGAAACGAGTGTTGGTTGCTGGCAGCACTTTGGCGAAACTCCCTCTTTTGGGAAAACTTTGGATATGTACTTGTGGTGAATTACCAATCATAGCAGAGAATAAAATGGGATAAATAGAGTTTAAAGGAAAGGACTAACCCAAACATCTGATGAAGTGTACATGACAGAAGCAGCTCTCTCACTCAGCACCATGTTGGGAGGATAAATGGCATCACTTATTAAAGCAAAGCAGAGGTGCTTGCTCTGACAAAACCTTACAGACCAGTGCTCAGTATCGGGACTGCCCACCTCTTCAAGAACCAGAATAAGCCAGGAAAGCTACACACTCCTTGGAATGACTCAGTTAGGTGACAAATCCTGACTGGAAGGAGCCAAATTAATCAGAGACCCCATGTTCAYGTCCATTCTCCAAGCACCAAAGACCCTGCAAGTAACACCCCTCAAATTGAAAAAAGTGTCGGTATTGGGAAACAGCAACATTAAAAGGCAGGTCATGACAACATGGGAAACCTACAGATCAAGCTTTTGGGCTTTATTCATGTAGTTCTGAATACTGTTATCATTCTGAAAGCTATTAGTATTTATATTTCACAACTTAAATGATTAGTTTTTTAGGCATTCCACTGCCTAAGGCAAAGCAGGCTCAGAAAAGGTGGTTTTCTACTCAAATAAGTCAGTCTCTGACTGGTTTCTAGTCTGTTGACTGGGCTCTTTCTATTCTTCCCTCTGACTCAGMCTTGATTATTGAATTGATGACAGCTTCTTTAAAAAAAAAAGATGTTATCTCTTCCCCACACAATCCAGCAGACTGTGTTGAGCAATACAGCATATTTCTGTTTCAGCTTGTTCAACAAAACTGTTTTTCAAATGGTATTTCCCCAATGTATATATTCTGAAGACAAAAATTATCAAGCAGTATGTTTCCTAATGGATATGCATTGTGAAAAGTACAGGATCTTACACCAAGCTGTTTTCATGGATGTTCTTAGTCTTATTTGATTTTATTAATTGTATGGATTTTCAAAATTTATTTTTATGACTAATGAGATTATATCAGCAACAGTGACATTATAATTTTGCTTTGTAGCCAAGGTTTTCCAACAGAAGCTGCAGATCTTTCAGAGGGTGAATAATTGTCAAGACATTATCAGAAACATCCTTGGTTGTTCTAACTGGTAAATTGGAGGAGAGAGTGTTTGTGTTTCAATACTKAATGGAGACAAGAAGCACATGGAGAGAAGTTTCCTTGTATTGGAAACTGGAGAACCCAGTATAAACAAAAGTGGCTGAAGATCAAGAATAAGCAGCTCTTCCACTGAGATAGTATCAAAAATGCATAAAAAATTCCATTAGTCATTATAAACAGAAAATCTTTTATTAAGATAAGTAGAAGTAAAAACCAATTTGTTTGCATAGTAGCAAATGTACCTCAAAACATTATAGGTTAATACTAAGATAGTAAAAAATACTTTTGCTCTTTTATTATTTAATCTACAGACCACAAGTAGTCTCATAGGGGACCTAGAAGATAGCTTACAAAAATGTTTAAGAATGAGAGTTTTATTTACAAGATGCATAAATACATGGGAAACAAATACATAAAGGGATCCTGCATTTGGATTGAAATTTTTTAATGTTCCAAATATTTTAAATAAGGGAAAAAGCACTTTTCAGTGACATTTTCTTCAAGGACAAGTGTAATGTCAGAATTTAATGTTTGTTGAACATGTGACTTTCCCCCCTTTTTTTAATATCTTAAAACTGCCTTCTGTTAAATGGCTTAAAACAGGAAAACTCTGTCATTTGTTGTGGATCATATCCTTGGATCAAAAATCAGACATCTACTGATCATACCTGTTGATGACAGAGCTGAGAAAACATTGTCAGAATAAAACTGGATGGTTACCAAAAAAAAAAAAAAAGGTTTCAGGCCTTAAGTAATGAAATTGGAATGAAATACTACAGGAAAGCAGCAGGAATAGGCAAGAGGACATGGGAAAGAAGGGAGTGACTGCCATGTAACTGAGTCCAAAGATGTTCTTGCCCAAATCTCTGTTCTTGTGTAGTCAGGAAGTGATTAAAGGACAGATTTTCAACACAAAGCTCATATTGAAGCTGTAAAGTTATAAAGACTGAGTAACCAAGAAGGTATGTAACTGCATCTACTACACCATGAAACAGTAATGTCTAGAACTTGGTCTTCTCCATATGCTGCGTGCTAGGATATTTGAAGCTTGCACTTCTTGTGAGTCAGTTTGGTGTTGAGGACAACCTTGGAGAAGCAAGGGGGAACCATCCAAGGTCATYTACTAGAACATTTTCTGGCCCTTGGGAAAAGAAAACTACACTCAAGTACTTCCTGACAATGGCTTATCCTGTTCTTAAAAATCAGGGATGGAGGTCCCTCAACCTCATTAACCTAAGGTGCTGTCCAGATATTCTTACAGATGAAAAATCTTTGCTAATTTCTATAGTTATTATCATTAAACCAATTTTTAACTAATTAAAAAAAATTTAAAATTATCCTAATTTTAACTCCTTGCAAGTTGCCCATATTGCTGCTTGCATGAGATTCAGAGTAATACCTAAATGTCATACCTAAATGAAAACGAAGTGCCGAAACTATCATCATACTCAGCAGAAATACATCCAGAGGTTAGAGCACAGTACAATTTGCCCCCAAACCAGGCTATATCTATTTCTCTCTGACCTCTACTGTTTTTAAGTATGTTCAGTTTGTAGACACAATACAGGAGGATTTGTGGAGCAAAKAATTCGATGCAGAGAACCCAACACTACACAACCCATTTTTGATGATTTTCCTTCAGACTAGAATTAGCTTGGTGCCACAGACCAAAGCCCTACAAGCAGATGGATCTCACAATGTGGTTTCACTCAGGAGGGACATGATTCACACACTCTTGCCATTAGCTTCAAAAGTACAATTTGATCCAACCAAACAGGTGTACTSAGCATTCACTGTATCTCCATTTATGAGAGATAACAGAAAATTTAACACCTATCTGATAACAGAAAATTAAATACCTATACTGAGATGTCTTAACCTCAAACCCAACCTCGTCCTTTGTGACACTGACAATGCTCTCATGTATGTTGCAATTCCCTTTTCTTCACTATTCTCCTTTCTTCCACCCTTCATTTATCTGCAAACTTGTCAGACATCTTACTCACTGTCTTTGCTCACATACCAGTTCTTTAATTTCCCTTAAAAAAAATAATACAATTTTGTGGGTTTAGATTGTTTTTTTGTTTAGTTTTTTTTTTTTTAGCTGTTCTGTAGTGTCTCCTGAAGAGACATAATAACATACCACTTCAATTCAATAGGATGGATAAAATACTAGATCTTATATATTTCCCAGCTGCTTTCAGACCTGACCACAGCTGGGTTTCCCCTCTGTTTTGGAACAATGTTAAACTGTTGAATCAATCCACAAATAGTTGTAAATACTTTTACCATGTTTCAGCATGTTACTGACAACAGAAGCTAGGTCGCTTTGAATTAGCTCACCTTTGCTCTTTATGAAACCAAACATAAATTTGTGGTGGTTTTTATTTAACTTGTTTCTATGACTTCTGATAATTAACTGCTACTGGCTCCAACATYACAGTAGTGATCTAAAACATTCAGGCCTGAATTTCATCATACYCTGGCTAAGTCTGATGTCCCAAACATCAACGAAGTACTGTCTGAGGAAGACGCTCAGAGAAAAAGTAAATTTAGCTACTCCCATAGTAAGATTCATACATCTCTGTCAGCTATTCTTTCACTCCAATGCAGGAAGTGTTCTAAGACTTCCTCTCTTGAATACATGATGTCCACCCCCCATTCAGAAATAACCAAGAAACCTCCCAGTGTAATAATCCTCGAGAGCCGTGCCCGGCAGGCCCATGCCTCTGGGYGTGTGCTCTGGACATGAACCAAGTCAAGCCCAACCCTTTGGGTGCACTGCCATTCAGCAGAGCTGAACATTCCTGGAAAAGGATCAGAGGCAGGGGCCTGGGGAAATCTGCTGTGACCTCTGTGAGGTACCTGAGGGTGGTACAGGGATGCAGCCCTCAGGCAGGGACAGGGCACTGAGAGATACTTCCAGGAAAAACTGGGAGAGGAAGAGCCTATCATTCTCCACGTTTCTAAGGTAGAATCCGCCTTGAGAAGACACTACTTTTAGAGTATTGTTTTTAAGTAGCTTCTTAAGATTCACAAGAAATAAATGACCCTAATCCAATGCTCTCAAACAAGAAACATAACTTTTTGCCACATGAAGGTCCATATTAGGAAAAAAACCCCAACATTTCAAAACACAGCAGTGCCTCTCTTTCTTGTCTGATATCAGCTAATGAAGGCAGCTTTATCTGCTCTAATATTTGATCCAACAATGAGGCTTTTAGGCACCAAACTGAGTTAACTCTCAGTACATCACACCCTGCCTCAGCTGAGACTGAAGATTATAAGGATTGAGAAAAATAATGTTATTCAGGCAAAACTAACAGCATCCTAAGCCACTGCAAGTACACCAAAACAGAGGATGGTGTGGCTTCAGGCATTGCAGGGAGAATAGGTAAAAACTTTTGTACAAGTAGCACTCCATGCTTTCCATTGTTTTTTTTTGGACAAAATGAGGATGAAACTTTTTCCAACCAAACCTCAACTAGCAGCCTGCTGTAAAAAAACAGGTTTAACAGTTGCTGGCCATCTTGCGCTCAACCATATGTCAGTATCAAAGCTATCAGGCAACAGGTCTCCAGATAACAAATCTGATTCTGCAGGATCCTGAGCTCAGGGAACAATGTCCTGACCTTTGGCACCTTCCATTCTATCCATGCAACATTACTGATCCCTGCTCAGCTGCATGGCAGCTCCYRGCACAGCCCAGGGCCTGGCCTCCACCCTCACCTTTGTCTGAGTGGCGGCAGCCCGACTTCCGCAGGCATTCTGCCAGCCTGGAAAGGTGAAAAGCAAAAGAAAATGCCGCCGTAAACCAGCTAGAAAGGGCTAGAAAACATCAGTCCRAATTCAACAAACCAAGCGTTTTGATCTCAGTCTGTTATGAGACAGTCGTTGCTTTTAGTTTGAGAAAGTATTTTATAGGATATAAGGTTGATGGCGGAAAAATAGTGAGGGCAGGGGAGTAGAAAACCTGAAGTGTTTTGGATTGTTAAGAATTTGGTGTAATTTTYCTAAGGCGACAAAGACTTCCAAGCTTTTAAATTCATTTGCCCTCCTAGCACTGTTCCCTCAAAAGGGAAATACACTTTACTAGTATAGAAAGTATGTCGAACATGAAGACGGCAATAACGTGAACTCCTCACTGCGTTCCTGTTCCTCCCGGCGCTGCACAGCCCYACCCATCCCAGATACCGTTCCTGCTGGGATTTCCTACCTCCACCTGCTTTCCGGCGATGGTTTCTATCTAATTCCCAAAGAAAGAAAGCAAACCCGCTCCCAGCCACACGCAGCCGGCTCTGGGAGTGCTGCCAAGCCCCGACGGGAGCACCTCTCCCCGGCGGCCGCACTCGGGACCCCCGCGGCTCCATCCCGCGCTCTCCCTTCCCGCACTTCACGCCCTGTCCGGGGCAAAGCAGCGCTCCGCTACCGGGGGATCCCCGGGGCAAAGCAGCGCTCCGGTACCGAGGGATCCCCGGAGCAAAGCAGTGCTCCGTTACCGAGGGAACCCCGCGGCAAAGCAGCGCCGAGCACTCACCAGCAGCGCCAGCAGCCGCGCCGCCGCCACGGGGCCCCGCGACATGACCGCCGCACCGGGACGGGACGGGACGGGACGGGCTCCGCTCCTCCGGCCGCCCACCACGGCAATGCCGGCGGCCCGTGAGGGGGGCACAAGTAGCCGCGGGTGGGTGGAGTGTGCCGGGCGGGATCCGTGCCGGGAGAGGGCAGGAGGTGYCCGGCCCCGAGCCCCGCCCGGCCCGGCCCGCCCTCGGGGTGACCGCCCCGCGGCGGCGAGTCCCGGCCGCGCCCCGCCCGCGGAGAACGCACAGGGCAGCCCTCGGAGCGCCGAGCCCCGGCTTCCCCAGGGCTCCTGAGTTTGAGGTTTGCTTCCCCCGCTTCCGCTGAGGAAGGCGAGCCGGAGCGTGCAGGAGAGGCGCAGAGGAGCTGCGATAACAAACTGATACATAAACGAGTAATGGATAGGGGGGAGCGCGGTCTCATGGGAAAATAAAACTGAGTGTTTTTAGTACAACCTTCCCCATAATCCTCATTTTTATACGCTYCGAGCTATATCCTTCCTACTCTTATCTGGCAGAGATCTTTCCTGGATACACCTGATTAATTGGTGCTTACGAAGGCATAACTGATTCTTCATGATGGCGAAATAATTCAAACGCGCTTTCCGTACATCCTTACTTCTTTGAGGCAGTTACCTGATTAATTTTTCCAGGATAACACTCAGTTGTGGTAAGTAACTTCCGAACCCGATGGTTGTGATACTATTTGTGCTCGSAGAGGGGAACCAGCCTTATGGGAATCTTTCAATCACATTATGTCCCTTTATTGCATGCTGTAACAACGCACAATACATAACTCAATGTCAGTTGCAATAATTATAATTTCCATGGCCATCATGGAGACTTAACCTCACAAGTTTTCCTGAAGTGAAATATATCTGCTTGCGTTGTTTTCTTAGAATATCCCAGTCTACAGAATTTGCTGATACTCCTGCATAAAAATAGTTTCTAAACTTAAAGAAAACAAAAGGCATAAACAAGCCAATATATGTGAAATGCACAGTATTAGAGGGTTTTGTAGGCTTGCTTTGTTCCGTCACTGAGTTATTGTGCTGGACCGATCACTGTAACCAAGCAGAGTTGTGTACTTTCACACAACAGTACACCCACCCTGAGGCCCTCTGAGGATCTTCTCCAGGGTCTCGAGGACCGGGRTGTATTTTGGCACAGGTTTAACAGACGATGTAGCTACTGCAGCTAATGGCAAAGAAGCACTGTGAAGTTTTCTTTTAGTTTTTCCTGTTTGAGATGAATGAGGCAGAGAACGTCTTGGAGAGCATTCATATTACAATCCTTTTAATTTGGTGATTTAGACGTAGGTTCTGCTTTCAGATGTATATTACATTTCCTAGACTAATGGTTAAGTGTTTMTTTACATCAAAAGGCTGTAAGAGAAGAACSGTGATTTGCAACTTTCTTCTTAATYTGCAGGTTGCTTTGTGGAATTCTGAGACARTTTTTGGTTGCTGATCCAGTGCACTGTAAATGAGGTTATAGTGTAGAYATACATATATAYACACACACAACTATTTGTCAATTTGAAATGCTGATATGATGGAGTAAAAAGCTAAATGAATTTATTTTGAAAAATCCTTAGCTTTGATTTSCCTTTGAAGTTGCATGTGTTTACAGGAGAAATGAATAGAATAAACTTTTCCCAGAGCTCMATAGCACAGGAGACAGAAGCTCTTCTGCAAATTGTCTTGCCAGAATTTAGATGCCTGTTCTTAGGTTGCTTGTAACTTAAGTGTGGGTCAGCTACAAGGCTCATGGCTTGGCCATCCTAAAATAGCCTCAGCTATCATTAAAAAGTTGGGGTTTTTGTTTTGTTTTGTTTTTTTGTTTTTTGATCCTTTGTATGAAAAAACTATGTTCTCCATATTTTACAAAAATAATTTGYCTGCTGTTATGAAAAGTATGTCAAACAGTATCCATTTGGTTTTAAAACAGCTAGTAAATGTGCCAGCAACCACTGAAGATGAATTTCTTTCTACCTTTCCTTTGCTTTACCTGGCAGCAGCTAAACACTCCTCCTCTCACAACCAGGCTGTGGTTCTGTCCCTACAATCAGTTTGTACCGGAGGATCCACTGAGCATTAGATCTTTGTTTTCCTGCTGGGGACAGCAGCAATTCAAGAGTTCACTGACACTGCAGAACAAAGAGAAAGTTAATCTTTGCTTTTCAGACCACAAAAGCAGCTGAGCCCCTCTCTGGTGCCTGGTGAGGAGAGGGGCTTTCCAAGGTGTGAGGCATGTGCCAGGTTGCTGTTGTGTCAAGGTGCAGACATCTGTCTAAATGCTCTTGATAAGCTTTTAACAGCAAATAAGTTCCATCTAAAACTACCTAACTTTTCTCAGGAGGGAGAGTGTGTGCTTTCAGGAATAGTATTTGTCAGCACAAATGCTCTAGCCAGGTACTACTGCACCCTTGGCATGATGGTTGGGTCTTGGTGACTCCCCCAAAACCTTGCCTTGCCCCCAGCTCTGCCTGCCACGCCCTATTCGTGCTGACTWAACTTCATTACAGCAGTGCCAGGAAACTTCTGGCTTCCCTGGGGTGGAGGACGAGGACATACTTGATCAGACCGAATCCCCCTCTTCTTACAAAAGCAAGGTTAACTTTACAGCAATTGTGGTTTCTTTTTTTTTTGTGTTTTTTTGTTTTGGTTTTTTTTTTGTTTGTTTTTTGTTTTTTGTTTTTTGTTTTTTGTTGTTTCTACAAAAATACAGTTTCTTCATTTAGACAAGTGACTCAACCAAAGGAGACAGGTGCAGTACCCAGTAAGTGGTGTTAAGGTGGAAAACCCAGTGTATATTCTTAATAATGAAATCTTGGAATTCATTTATATTTGCACGAAACTATTATACAAATATTTTGCACTGTTTGAGATTATGTCAGTTATCTTCTCTGCATTGTTTAAAGTCTCTTTACTGCAATTTGGTCACAGATGCCACTCACTTTTTTGGGAAAAGATCCCAGTAGAAACCAGTGTATCAGAGCATTGCGCAAATATATCAAAATAACAYTTAGTTATTCAAAACTGGTAATGGCTAATGCATAATCTGTAAAAAAATTATACTCATCACAGAGAGGGTTTCTAACCCCCAGACACCTCTTGAGACTGGAGCAGTTGCAGAAGGTACAGTCACCAGCTTCAAAGTGCTTGCAGGGCCAAGCTCCTGCATTTTTTTCCAGGAAAAAATGCTCTAACTGAGAAGCAGATTAACAACAGAATTTGATACTTTAAGCAAACATTTGGCATTCTAAAAATGGAGTCATTGTTGTTCCTGTGTGCATTAACTACGTTTTGGATTCTCCATGCCTGCTGTCATGCTCCTTAAACAAATTCAAGCGGGATTAATTCTCCCCTTTCTTTTACTTTACCTCCTCTCTCTCACTCAACTGCTTTCTCCTTATCTTTCTCTGTTCAGCTCTTTCCCTTATATTCATTCTCCTGTTCCCTGACTGCCTGGGTTTCTTTTTCTTGTTTTTTTTTTTTTTTTTTTTTTTTTTTTTTTTTTTTTTTTTTTTTTTTTTTTTTTGGTTTTTTTTTTTTGGAGGGGGGTGCTTGTTTTTTTTCTTTTCCGGTGTGGCCAGATTGTTTAACTTTTCGGGTGCCAGGTGCAGCTGTGGAAGTGAGTAAGCCTGCTGAGCCGTGAGGTGTGGGATCGGCAGAGCTGTAAAACCGCCAGGCCAGATCCCTGCCCTGAACACAGGCGTTTTGTTACCGACAGTGATACACMGTCTGCTCTGTGTGTGTGTGTGAAACAAGGCGTGGCAGAGTAACCCTTTTGTTGCTTTCCTCTGCTTAGCAACTGGCGCTGCTCTGAAATTGCCTGGACACATTTTTCAAGGTGGTGTGGCTCTCTTTTTGGGAAAACGCACATGACAGAGAGCATTTAGGTAGATACAAATAAACAATTGCTCTGTTGTGCGGTTAGTACAATAAAATAGCATAAAATAAATAGGATAGGATAGGATAGGATAGGATAGGATAGGATAGGATAGGATAGGATAGGAGAATAGAATAGAATAGAATAGAATAGAATAGAATAGAATAGAATAGAATAGAATAGAATAGAATAGAATAGAATAGAATAGAATAGAATAGAATAGAATAGAATAGTTCAGCTGGAAGAGATCTGCTACAGTCAATCAGCTCAACTGTCTGACCACTTCAGGGCTGGCCAAAGCTACAGCATGTCATTAAGGACACAGTCGAAAAGCCTCTTAAATAGTCATAGCTTGGGGCATCAACCATCTCTCCAGGAAGCCTGTTCCAAAGTTTGAACAGCCTCTCAATTAAAGAAATGCTTCCTAATGTCCAGTTTGAACCTCTGCTGCGGGAAGCTTTGAGCCATTCCCATGTGTCTGTCACTGGATACCAGGGAGAAGGGATCAAACCTCCCTCTCCACTTCTCTTCAGRAGGTTTTAGGAAGCAATGAGGTCACCCCTCACCCTCCTTTTCTCCAAACTAGACAAACCAAAAGTCCTCAGACACTTTCCGTAGAACATTCCTTCAAGCCCTTTCACCAATTTTGTTGCTGTCATCAGGATTCTTCAAAGGACCTTCACATCCTTCTTGCCGTGTAGGGCCCAGCACTCCAGATGAAGGCACCAACACTGAAGACAGCGGGATAATTGCCTCTTTTGACTGGCTGGTCATGTGCTTTGATGCCTCCCACGTCGGAATTTTTCCCTCTGGGCTGCCAGGACAATGCTGACTCCCACTGAGCCTCCTGCTGGCCAGCASCCCACATCACTTTCTGCAGGGCTCCTTTGCAACCTCTTCTTTCCCATTTTATACTTGTGTTTGGCATAAGTAGAAATATTTGCCTGGTTTTGGTCCATGAATTTKCAGTAGTGCTGAACAATTGAACTGTATTGAACAGAAAGATAATTTTGAAAAGTTACACCTTGGAAACAATCTCTGCTGATCTTGCTCTAATCTGTCAAGTCCAGTATCAGCTGCAATAATACAGTGTAAGCTTCCAGGGACTGTAGATAGAGGAATGTGGCATTCACAGTCTTAGAAGAAAAGGAGTATTATTCTGGGTTTTTTTTCTGTCACATGAAAAAATAAACATAAAACTATTATGTGAGCTTTTGCACTATGTCAGTAGGCAACMTTAGAAGAGGTTGGCTTAGCAGAAAAAGAGGGCTCATTTTTAAAACTAAAGAACAATGCAGGCCCAAAACCAGATATCAACTGATCTGAAGTTTGGACTGGAAACTGGAAGAATATTGAACTCTGATTAGTGGGAGTGTCTCAGTTGGAAATTCAGGGATGAGAACTCTGTGGGTTTTTGGGCAGATTTCTGTCAATGGTTACACAGATATGAATGTGCAAACGATATTGGTTAACATCAGTGTTGACTGGCACCTTTTCAATAAGACTTGGCTGTTTCAGATGCTTTCAGGTGATTCCTGTATAAAAAGCACAAATCCCAGACAATCTCCTAGAACTGAGACTAGACAGCTTCTCAAAAGTGACAAAAAAAAAGTTATTTGCAATCACTGGCAATATTGCTGAATTTTTAGATTGAACTCTGAACTGAGGTGTGTAATAAAATTTAAAGCAACCCCCACATGACAGTGGAGCAGAACTGATAAGACTGAGAATAAAAATGGGTGTATTTAACTTCATTTTACCTCTGATAGAATGGCAATGGGAGATGCCATTTAGGAATTGTGTTCAAGCCTGGATATTGTTTGCAGTCCATCTCCTAGCATTCACCCAGGTGAGGCTATTTAGTTTGTATTTATTGACCTGTCTCATATTAATTTCTCCAGTCCCTTTCTAAGGCTCTTGGTGCACCTACAGCTTACCATGGTCACTTTTATTCGGTAATACTTTAGCTAAGAAGGTCAAGAAGATAAAAATCAAATGTGCATACCCAAAAACTGCACAAGAGAAGCATTACTTTCCTACTACTATTTATAAACTTTGCATGTCCAGTAGCTATTATTTTGCTGTTTACAAACAGCAATACAAACATTTGATATAGAGTGGATTTTACAGTCAAATAGCACTCATTATAGTGGACATTCAACATCAAAGACTCGAGATGTGTCCTCTGCATATGTGCTACAGGCACATKGCTGGCAGAGTATTTATGGGTATTACCAAAGCACCTTAACTCCTGAGCATCTTACAATTGAATTTGCAATCGTATTCCTAAGGGGAAGAGATTAAGTTACAACTCCCCTTTTCAAACACAATTGATTGAAAATTCAGAAAAATTAAACAACTTACCGAGMTCCTATAGGGAATCCTGGGGAGCCTTCATCTCTTGAGTCCCAGTCTGGTGTCACAATTCAGGGTGACAACCTGAGCCTGCAGTGACTGGCACAGAAACAGACCCTCACCTAGGTCTTTGCTACTGGATCACTGTAAAATCAAAGCCTGCAGGTACAAAATTACTATCTATTTTACCTAGATTTTGACTGGCTTGTAACAAATATTTAATGAAGGACCTGGARGAAAGCCTGCAAATAATGTGGGTACATTTTAAATTTTTTTTAGAGCTTTCCCAAAAAGTAGGRAAAAGAAAAGGATTAAACAGGTAACTATCTAAATTTGCAGGCAGGCACAACAGTGCATGACGAACACCAGAAGTCAGGGTACATGATGGATGGCAAATAAGCAGGTTTTTTTTTCCTAAATTGTGATTTTGTGACTGTTCCATTTTGTAACTTACTGCTCTGTATCCTGAATTACAGGATATTGTTTAACAACTGGTCACATTAAGAAAATATGACAGATACATCATTATACAAATGTGCACCCAAAACTGTCACCAATTGTAATTTTGCCCTTATTCTCCTTTTTGTAAAATTTAAGTGCACTTGGAATATGAAATAACTTTGTCTATTGACCTGTTTTTGACTTGTACCTGTGCTCCCATGGATTTCAACTAAAGTTGCTTGAACATAAAAACTGGTGTTGGGTAACATAACATTTGGTTCATTTCCATTTAGGTAGGTTCTAAATACACAAAAGATAAATAATAAATTATCTTTGTTGCACTGGAATTGGCAGTATCATCAGACTGACAGCAAAGTTGYTATACATTTGAAGATGGACATTTTTTTCTTCCAACTTAACTTCCTGAAAAGATACTTAAATCATTATCTGAAATATGTGTGAGTGCCAATAATCATTCTGTATGAAACACTGAAGAAAAAAGATGTCAAAATGTTAAGGCAAAATAAAATTATAGATTAGAAAATATTTGATTTATACATGATACTCTTCTTAAAGGCAGTAATTTACCGAGTTCAAATAAAGCTTGCTGAAGAAAATCTCTGTGCAAACAATAATTATTATCATGAATGACCACTGAATAACSATCAGTGGTTTGGGACATCAGAAAGAAATTTGATTTTAGAACCAAAGTACTTTGGCTTGGTTCAACTCATTTTGACAGTGAGCAGATGTACCTGCAGTACCTGTGCTGCCCAAATATTGTGTTTCTAGAGACTTCTCTTCTCCTTCTTCTCTGTGGCTTGTAGTCCAGCATTATTTTATAGCTCCTCTGAAGCACTGTTTCAGAGCTACAGGATGGAAGGCTATCAAAGAAAAGACTGTCTAAAGAGAGACAACAATGCATAGCATGATGGGTCGAGGAAATCGTACTGTAATTATTGTGAGATGTGGAACACATTTCTGCTTGACAACCTGAAACAAASTATTGTGGTCAATTTTTCACATGAAATAGTTTTCTCTTGGGGGTGACTGACTTTCTAAATCAACACCTTTTCCACCTTTTTTTTATTTCCTGAAAGAATGAGKTTTTTTCTGAAAAAAAATCAGTTTTAAGGAAACTGTATTTCCCACTGATAAATTGAAAGAAAAATCCTGAGCCACTCTATATGAAACATAATGTTCCAAATGATCATTTATTGTATTTTTTCAGTGCCATTCAGAAATTATTACAAACAAGTGTCTAATATTTTTATTTATGAAAATACAAGCCCACAGTAATATTACTTATTTTTWAAATAAAATTTAAATGATTCATTTGGTGACTCAATATTGAGGAGCATTTGAATTATGCAGTTATGTTAATTCAAAGAAAAAGGCAGAATTTTTTAAAATTGTTGCTTAAATTGTGTGGTCTTTCCATATTGCACATAGTAAGTGCTGCTCACAACAGTTTAAAAGTGTTATTTATTACCACAAAATCAGGACAGAGRAAAAAGTATTGAAACTTGCAGTTCAGATTCAGACAGTGTTCCCAAAAGAGAAATCTAATGAKACCCTTAGCTTGTGGCTCTGTTTTATTCCATGTCAGTATACTTTTCATCATGCCAAGGTCTCAAAGAACCTGTTTATAACTATAGGATCCTACTCCCAAATAAACCCAAGTTAAMAAAGAAAAAAAAAGCCATKCACTTTGTGTTGCAYGCTGCTGACTCTTTAGTAAGAGTGTTTTTCTTGAATGGTTTAGAGCAGAATTGATATTACTGCTGTCTTTCTTCCCTAAAAACCATTTCTTCTTCATTATTAAACAATAAAATTAAAGGTAAGACAGCAAACAGGCTGCTAAATTACAACTGGAGGAAAAGAAACAAAACTAATGTCTGCTGGCCAGAATTAAACTATATGCTATATTTTTTTAACAATGAAGCTAGAAAAATAATTTGCACAGAATTTTTAATGGACCAAATATTTGTTCACATCTTCAAATACATTTTTTTCTTCCACAATTTGTAGTAACCTAAAAAATTCCTCAATTCACTAAGAAAACAWTTTTTAGGAAGTTTGTAAGAAGTACACAGCAATAGGAATTAATATTCAGAAGTGCACTGGAAATGCACTGAGGGATAATGCAATTGCTGTTTGATGTGAGAAACCATAATGAAAAGATGTTAGAAATATTTGAAGAAATTGTATTATGTAATAATTGATAATTATAAAGTTGGTAAAAGATAGTACTAGATGTAGACAGCCACCACATAAGCAAAAAATGTCCTTTGAAACAATATTTTTATCTATTTTTCTATTAGCTTTCTATTTCTCTATTTTTTCTATTCATTCTTCCCATATTTCTAGACATGCAAGAGACCATAGTTCAGACACTCATACTTCACACGGCATTCCTCTTCAAGGAATTCAGCATGTGCTCCTGAAGGCTAGTTTCGTTACTTTGAACACAATTCAGAAAAATATTTCTGATTTGCTTAAGATGATTACAGAAATATTTACACAAGACTAATTTTTTTTTATATTAAAATGTATTCCAGTGAGCTTTGGCTATATTGCATTGACTTTCTATATATCCAGACAGTCATATATATTTCAAATATTTGTTTTTTTTTAATGTAAACAGGTCGTTAGCAAAGTGGAATGGAGTTTGTCAGCATTTTAGTGAATTTCTGCACAGATTCTCCAGATATAAAAGGATACAGCTTTACATATTAGTCCCTATTTTACTTCTTTAAAGAATGGTTCCAGGAGCCATAATTACAGTTGGTACATAACTTGTGGGAAAGACTAATTCCTTTGAAGTCAATGTAATTTTAGTGATACTTAAAATAATCAAGGCTGCAGAAAGAAGCAAAACCAGAAATACATCAGATTTTACGGGGAGAGAATCCAGTATGCTTGGTTGCTATAGAAAAGAACCTGAAGCTGTGGTAGGGACCTTTTCTGGAGGCAGCCTTGGATTTGGTCATGACTCCTGGGGATTATTGATATTAATGGCAGGGGCCTTGGCTCAGGAGGCACGGCAGGCAGTTGTTGACAGCCRATCTAATTGCATTCCCAAAACCATCTTTTAAAAAACCTTTTCTTGGTATAGGACTCAGAAAACTGTCATCCATTTCTTCCGAGGTAAGTTAGTCTGGATACATAATTGAAAGTTTATTTTCCATTTTATCAAGTGGGAAGTTCATGGACAACTCTTAGATTTTTCGCTAACTGATCTGCCGAAGCCAAAGAAGCAAAATTTGTGGGGAAATTACTGATTTGGTGGTCTAGCAAAAAAAAACCTAGTCCCTCCTTATAACTCTATTTTATTTACACTGAAGMGATGTTGGGTACTCTATGGTTACTATACATATGATACAGCAGTAAAATGAGATAGAAGCTATATTTCAGTATTTTGTTCCTTCAGATTATAGTCTATTCTTATCCACATTAAGGTATTATTAGAATAACAGAGTCCAGTAGAGCTGTTTTTGTGGGAAAATAAAAGCCAGATTTAATTAAGTTTATAGACTCATAGACTTTTTCAATCAATACATTCAAATAAACTTTCAAAATATCAATGCAAAATACATTGACATATGAAATAAAATTTCTCCACATTGCTTATTAGCAAGTTTATATTGCTTCCAAGTGTTTTGTTTTTTTTCTTTTCAGGAAGACTTCAGCTACCAGTGTCAGTAATACAATACTTGCTATTGCCTCCTCACATCATAAAGCTTCTAAGACTTTCTTTTTCTTTTCAGTATTTGAAATGAGAATTGGCATGGTATATTATAGCCCTTTTAATATAACCTGACATTGGTGATTTGGATGGTATTTTGGCACAAAAATCTGACTAAGAGTTCCTGGTTGTCACTGAAGTCCTTTTAGATTTAAGSAAAGCTGTAATGGAGAAAAGATGAAGCCAACATCTTCCTTGGTGACAGTGTCAAYGTGGCATCACCAGCTGCGACGAATCGCTGGTCACGCTCCTCACCATGAGAGTAACAGCATGGCAGGCTGTGGCAGAGTGTTTGTTTACTGAGAACTTCAGAAAGCAATGGAAGTGTAATATGTTTAGATAATTATTATTTATAACTATTGGTGRTGGTGGGAGAAATGGTTGAAAGTGCCGTTTTGTAGCGCTCCTTGAATTACATGCAAAGTAAAATGATGCGTTTGAAAGTGCTTATTTAGTCTTGAGTTGACTAATTATTAACTACATTCTTTTCCTCTCTTGTCAGTGAGGGGCTATTAACCCAAATCTGCTTATTGTGAGAGATCACTCAGCTGCACAGTATTTTAACATGCTTTTGTACACCATTAATTCAGATCCTGTGCACACAAGGATCCCCTCTCACTGCTCTCCTCCACCATCAGATATCTCCAAAAATACTAGAGTCTGTTTATACACTTGCAGTGCGAGGTGGAGGGAAAGAAATAAATTTAAAACTAACTTCTATTTTCCCTTCACTGACTAAGTCCTGCATTTGACCTCGGAACGGGGCACCCTTCAGAGATCCTCACACAAGCAGGAATCTCTGAAATGTTAGCRCTATTTCTTAGTTATAAATAATAACAATATTCTTGATGGGTGGCAGCTAATGAGTGTCGGTGCAAACGGTGATTTCWGCAGGAAGGGGAGCCAGCAGAGGCCTTACTGACTGGAGTACTGCACGGTGCTGTACTTTGTCACTCGTCTCCGGGAGGTGCCTGGAGACGCCGTGCTCATTCCCTGGCCAAAGGCACTGTCAGCACTGAGCATCTGGCCCGTGCTGCTCAGGCCCCCCAGATTTGCTCCCCCCAGGCTCGTTCCTCCCAGGCCGCTCATCCCAGACCCTGACACTACTCTCTCCGTGACCACCACGTTGTGGGCGTTCGATAGCTCTGAAGGAATATTTATCAGGCTGCCTGGCATGCCTGAGGCAGGCCTGAACACCCTTTCTGTCACGACYACGTTTGACCCATCTACCAAATCGGGAATGCTCAGAGACGCCGGGAGTCGGGAGTTAGGCGCAATTACTCTTTCCGTGACGATGACATTGGAGCCCTCTGTGAGATCAGGGATATCCAGCATGCCACGCAAATCAGAGGCGGACGCGGGCCCCACAACCCKCTCTGTCACCACGACGTTGGATGCACGCAGAGGGTCAACGCCGAGAGAGGGGGTGCCGGAGGTGTAGGTCTCGGTCACCGTCATGTTGCCATGGAGTAGGGGATCCGGCATCGGCCTCGGGGGCTGKATGGTTGCCCCAGACGTGTAGGTGTTTTCGGTGACAACCGTTGTGGTGCCGACTGGGGGAGGCATAGGTGCACTTCCATTGACAACGATGGTGGTACCGGGTGGCGGCAGGTTTAGATCACTTTCGGGGCTGGGGAAGGGGATGTTGACGCCTGGCCAGGGTGGGTTGGTGTCAGGGAAAGGATCAATCTCTTTGCCCAGACAGATCTCTGCTAGGGTCCTAAATTTTGGTCCTAAAGTATCCAAGTATGTTTCATCTGTGTCTTCTCCAATAAAGCTGCAGCAACCCACGGAGCCAACAGGAGTGCCGACCCCTTCGTGATCATAGATCAATAGGCAATCATTTGCCGGCCGGCCTTCATCTTCATCTGCATACACAAATGCTTTCTGTGGTTTGCAAAAACAAAAAAATGGAGAAAAAAGAAACAAACCAGAAGAACAGAGTGAATTTTCATCAGGTTTTTGACTGTGAATACTCAAATCACAGTGAGTTTTCTATAACCACAGTAAGGCCCAGCTGACTTGAAAAATAGGACATCAACAGGGCAGACTATACCATCAACATTTTTAACCTTGAAATAAATTTGTTAAAATACTACTCTGTTTTATSCTTATTTCTGCCAACACATAGCATCTCAAATTTGGTCTGACATCAGTGGGTCTGATTGTGGTGCAAAAGGCAAACAGAGGCCCTCTTTGGGCAGCAGTGTCTGAACAAAGTGATAGGWAGAGGAGTGAAGCAGGGTGATGAGGGGAGCAATGCAGAGACCAGGATAGAGGAGATGGGATGGAGGATTGTCCACAGGGGCATGTCTTGGTGAGTCCAGAAGTGAGTCTGGTTTTGAGCAAGAAGGTAATCACTGATTTGGGATGATGTCGGGGACCTTGGAGTGGTCATTGAAGAGACATCAGGCAGGAAAGAGGAGAATTTAAAGTGAGTCCAGAGTAATGTTGGAAAAAGCAGGAAAGGATGGAAGAGGAGGCCTGGGAGGGAGAGTCAGAGAGTTTGGGGATTGAGACAGTCAGTCCTGGAAGGTAGCAGGAGTAATCTGTGGAGCCCTATGGTCAGCCAACAATTAATACATTATGCCCCAGGCCAAGGCAGGAAGATTGCAGTCTGGGAGAAATCAATGCTCAGGATGTCAGGACTGCTCTGTTCTCTCATTCACTGAACCTTGTTTAGATTCTGAAATGTAGCAATCCTTGTATCTTAATTGGTATTTTGGTGACATGCAATTACAACATTTATGCCTTCCAGTTCACGCCTATGAAAAAAAATATGGCCCATGAAACCATTAATCATGTAAATTCCATACCATTTTTAAAATCCCACATATAAAGGTTAATTATGATGTTGCCAATTGAAAAACTGCGTATTGTTGTCATTGACAGTTCACAAGTCTTTTAGGGAGCAAAAATGGCGATACAAGTAAGGAAGAACATGAACTGAAGTTTAAAGTTCTTTGAGGGTTCAAGTCACTTCATTAAAAAGCTTTACAGGAAGTAGGAGTGAAAAATTTCACGAAGTTATTATATATTTTTACACTGAAAAGGGTGGAAAATACATAAATTTGGTGGTTACTTATGAAAGTGAAATAATTTATTGCCTCCTATCCATACATGCAGCCTTTTTACAAAAAGGCTGTTGAACAATCCATCTACTATGGCAGCAGCTCAAAGACAGTTCTGCTACTGGGGTTGTCACTTTTCCTACCAGTACAGTCACCTTTGCCCTCACACCAGTTTTAAGTCATGGAAGTTTTCATTTTGAGTAGCATTAATTTGGATTGCCACCAAGTACCCTGGGGAGGAGAGTCTAACAAAAAGTACACTCACAGCTGTAACTCAGAGAAGAGCAAATGATTACCTCAGAGAAATAGTTGTCTAGGAAGGCCATGTTCACGCCTCCTTCTCGATACTCTTTTATCGTTCCTCCAATCGACCCTTTTACTTCCCCTGTTCCAGAAATTCCTCCAGCTGTTCCGTAGCCAGTACCAGTGCCATAGCCAACCCCTGTAGTTTCTTCAGCACCAGAAGCTACTACTCCTCCTCCTCCATATGTGTTATTATATATGTCTGAAAACAGAAAAAAGTTATCCTTCCAGTGCTCTGTTAAACTTTGTGCACAATTTTTCAGTTGTTTTACAAATGCTATAATGACACTGTTGAGTTTCTAAAGGTGTTTTAGACCAATTTCAGTCACAGGTACATGCACAGGTATGAAACATTGAAACTGCAGTAGTAATTAAATGCCTATTAATGGGCATCTAAGACTTTGATTTTATTCCTGAGGCTAGGCAGCATGGACACATTAGAAAACACATTTTATTGTGTTTTAGAAAATCAATTATTTGCTTCTGTGATTGGCTGAAAAGACTTTTCTATCTGATATATATATATATGTGCTGTCATGGTGTTTGTGTTAGAAAATCAGGTAATGTTTATGGATGTTTTTGCAAACACATAAATGTATATTTATGATCATATTGGGGTTAAAATTATTTTTCCTTACACATTTAGAAAAGAAAGAGTTTTGTAAATTCTAGAAAAGAAAGAATTTTGTAATTCCTTTTGCATTTTCTAGGAGTGAGGTTCTTTGGGGAGAACAACAATGGATGAAAATAACCACAAGTTTATAATCCAAAATAAAAATAGTCTTTACAATCAGCATTAAAGTAATACAGGATTTTATCTTCTCCAGATTTTTTTTAATACATGATAATGAGGAAATAGTTGTCTTAATGATCAGCATGTATTATAATAAAAGAATTTTATAGAGTGGTCTTAACTGGTTACACTGGGAAACATAGGCTAAATTGTATATCATTTTCATTTTTATGAAATGAGAACATACGAGAACATTTTTGTATAATAAATATCCAGGAGAGAAATTGTCATGCAGAGTAACATTTTTTCCTATCAGGAGTTAGTGAAAATGTATCTGTGCCAGCCTCCTTCCTTCCTATCCTGAAGTAAGGAATGGAGGAGAAAGAGAAAGTGGCACTGCACAACTTGATTTATTCTCTGTGATCGTTGAATTCCTGGAGGTGGCCTATCTCAGAAGCACAAATTTATTGTGCTATGTACCAGCTTGTCTAGCTAAGTACACAAATTGTCAGTAATTAACTAGCTACCAGATATGCTATCTTGTGGGAAGAAGAGATGAAACCGGGAAGAACTTTTATCTGAGTTATGAAAGCAAATTTCCTTATTCTGTCTCCAGACTGATTTCTGCTAGAACTGGTGTCTTGAAAAACCCTCCATTCGTAGTTGCACTGATGAAAAAAAAATTGCCTGGGATTTGACAGCCATGGCAGGTATTTTAAAGTAAGTGTAGCTTGCAGAAATTAATCTGCTCAAAAGTTCAAACACCGGACTTTTTATTCACATTGGAGGTCTTGCCAGCATTAATTTGACTATCTGCAGGTGTGAGATTGGAAGGGTTTGATTATAGCTGGGAAACTAAAGGACTCCATGAATCAGAAGGCATTGAAGCTCTGAAAGATAGTTTCATTACAGCACAACATAGAAGATTTAAGAAGATTTAGAGATCTGCTTACCAGAAGGTTCACCAAAATCACCTCCTGCAGCTGTTGTTGGGCCAAGAATATGTGAGACATCCTGGAAAACAACATTTTGACTCCTTGAATGATTACCTTGAAATTTCCATATGAAGACCAAGACTTTGTGAATTGTGTTAAGGAATTAGCAATCCAAAATATTAATGATAGTTAATAAATATCACTGTCTTCATTAACAAACAAAACATAACAAAAAAAGAGACTACAAGCTTTTCATTATCAACACAATAATCTGTAAAGATGATTTGTTGCATTTTTCTAAACTTGCAAAAAAGAAGCTTGCTAGTTAACATGTTTCATCTAAAAAAGTCGTGACACCAAACTTTTATGCCAAGCTAACTGACCACAGCTTAAAACACATAAACTCCATCAGTGAATGGTAATTAAGAATCACCTTTCATATCTGGCAATTGTTGACACTGCCAGACTTGTTTTAGATGACACAGTGCTACTGTCTATAGCAGTGAAAGTGAAACCTTCTCTAGCCAAATGCAGCCTTTTCTCTAAATATGACACATGGGATGTACTGACCCTGTCTTCAGGTTGTGCACCTTCTATTCCCCATGGATGAATTGCCCCTTCTGTGCATTCAGGTACAGGTTCAAATCCAGTTCCAACTCCACCTGCGGCGCCAGGTCCACAGCCACAACAGTCACTCATTGACATCAAAATTGGGATCACTTAACAGGAAGGAAACAGGAAACAAGGATTTAGGACATCTCTTCCTCACAGGAATAGCTGCTTTCCCCAGAGGGCAGGTGCTCGTGAACTTTTGAAAATATGTCTTTAAAATGTTTCTAACCAAGCAGCCTGTAAGTCTGGCTTTCAGAAGCATTAACTGCTTTAGGAGATGCATGTATTCTGAAATTCAGAATAATTTGTGCCTCTAGTCATAGCAGAGCAACACAGGGGTGGGGCTGTTACTCCAAATTTATGCTTATGCACCTGGGAACAGACTTTGATCTACCTCAGCTGAGCCAATATAAGTTGCATACATATGAAAATTAAACGAACAGAACAAGTCTTGCTATGTATAGCATTCAGTGCTATTCTTGCCTGATATATAAGCATAAATTGGTCTCTTCAAATATTGTAATTGAAAAGAAATACACTTTAGTAACAATAGACATATGCAAATCAGTGGAGAGATGGCCACCTGACTACAGTGATCTTTGGCTAAGGCTCCAGCTGCAATTTTCACATCAAGTATACATAATGCTTGATTTGAAAAAACAGTGGAGGCAACCCCCAAGCCCTAGTTTCACAAAATGTTTACATAGAGTGAGTCAGCTTTCCCAGAGTGCTGCATTAGACTTAGTTGTTTAAAGAGCTCGGTGTTGGAAATTGCAGAATGTTGTCAAGGTCAGCATCAAAAACACATCTTATTTTAGAAAGGCAGTACAAGATTATTTCTTAGAATCATAGAATGGCTCGGGTTGGAAGGGATCTTAAAAACCATCTTGTTCCAACTCCGCTGCTGTGGGCAGGGGCACTTTCCACTGACCAGGTTGCTCAAAGCCCCATCCAGTCCAGCTTTGAACACTTCCAAAATTGGAACAATTCTCTGGGCAACGTGTGCCTCTGTCTCATCACCCTCATAGGAAAGAATTTCTTCCTAAACCTACTGCCTTTCAGTTTAAATCCATTGCTCCTTGTCCTGTCACTACATGCCCTTGTAAAAAGTCCCTCTCCAGCTCTCTTGCAGGCCCCCTTTAGGTACTGGAAGGCTGCTCTGAGGTTTCCTTTGGAGCCTTCTCCCAACAGTCCCAACYCYCTCAGCCTGTCTTCATAAGAGAGGTGCTCCAGCCCTATGATTACTTGAACATCAAAGGGAAATGAAAAGGGGAAAGGACAATACCATATACCAAGGGCTACCTTATACAGCATGACTAAGGACAGATTTAATCCAGACTACCAGGGGAGATCTCCAAAGGCAGAAAGACAGTCTGTCCTGTGAGACTAACCATCTGAGAACTACAGATTGAACAACCTTTGAGAGCTTCAGAATTTTGTGTTTGTATAAGGTTACTGACAAAGTAACCTTATTTTAGAAGAATTAGAAAAAAATACCATTTACATTACTTAAAAAAGTAATAAAACTGTTTTCTTAATTTTATACTTACGAACAAATATTAATCCACCGAGAAACATCAGGCCAATGGCAGCACCGCTAAGTGTGGTATTTGATTGGTAGTCTCTGCCGTAATTTTCTCCTCCAGTGTAACTATCATCAGTGGATGCAGTGTATCCTTCCTCACCTCCTTCATATCCATCTGTATAACTCTCCCATTCTGTGTGGGGCTGATAATCTCCATATCCCGCATCACCACCATCACCACCTTGCTGGCCTCCTCCATCTTCCCGGCCTCCTCCAGTACCCCCACCACCACCAGTTGTGCCACCACCAGTGCCACCACCAGTGGCACCACCAGTACCACCACCAGTGCCACCACCAGTGCCACCACCGGTGCCACCACCAGTGCCGCCACCACCACCACCACCACCGATGATAATTATTCTTGTGGCCCCACTGGTGCAGTAATTCCGACTGTCACACTGGCAAGCCTGCACAGGAATTATGTGTGGTCTAGCGCAGCGTCGGCCTTGGCTATCTCTTACAACCACATGGATCCTGTAAAGGTAAAAGTCTATGTTCTGGCCCACTAGCTCTGCAGAGGAACCTTGGAGTGAAAAGAAAAGGAGAAAAATATTTAGATGAAGGTATTGACTATAAGTGCTCTACAAATCTACGACTCTTGTGTGTTATGTTCAAAAAACAGGATGAAACGAAGTCTTCCTTTTCTAAGCACCCCAATTACTTATGCATCTACAGGACTTATTCAAAGCTGAAAAATATAATATTCRCMTCTGCTTGTTTTTTTTTTYTTGGAAAACATGAGCCAAATCAGTCTAGTTATCACTTTTAAACATGGGAAATACCAAAGGGCAAATGCAATTTTTTATTTATGCTGCTGCTTTTCTGATTTTTATTCACACAATGGTAAGCATAAAAATTGAAAGTTTTATGTGTTTCTTTTTCATCTCACAAAGAATTGATGTATGTTTTTCAAAAAGTTTTCAGTAGATTTAAAATACTTTAAATTACATATTTGCAACTGTTTAGGACAGGTAGGAGACTCAAAAATAGTTTCAATTTTGATATTTGTCATTTAATATAGTCTTCTATGCATACAGTAAGTTACGCAAATTCTGTCATTTTGTAATGTATGAGATTTGATTAGTGCATTAGCTTGTTATGTCCTATTGAGGGAAACTGGCAAGGTTTCAATGGACATTGACTAAAACAGTTTCCTTTAAAATGCAAGTAGTATGACTGGTACAATGCATTGCAAAAGTTATAATCTTAATTTGCCATTTTCATATGCCTCTCATAAAAGTAAAGCTCTGCTAACTATAACTTTATACTCTAATAATAAAATTTTAGAGTTTTTTCATGTGCTTAGTATATTTTGATAATATAGAAATGAAAAAGTATAAATTACTCCTTTTGATTGACCTCATTATGTTTAGACCAGTAAAGSTTCTTTTTATAGCCATACTCRAAGTRAGTTTTGCTGCTCTATTTTTATCASTAAATTTTCACTTTCCTTTAAAAGGTAACACATGTAATAATTCCGACCCTAGTTATAATATGATTTTACATACATCCATATGTATACATGCATATATTCAAATTTGGAGCAACTTCTTACATTAATATTTAACTGAGATTTGAATAGATTCTAAAAAGTGTTTTTTTGGTAATAAAATATCATCCTAATCAGTTGTCTCAGATAAGAGCTGACTACAATTTATTCTTTTGTAAAATGTTGGTTAATTTACCATTTATTCGTCTGATAATCCATGTAGTCTGAGGTTCACCATGTATGCTGAATGTAAAGGGGGTAGCATATAGATCACCATCCCTGGGCTTTGCTGAGATAATCACTGATGGGGAATGCATACATACTTTCCTCATTTCAGTATTAATAGTTGGGCAGTTGGTATTGATGTCATCTATTGAAAGCACAATGGTGCCAGTAGCAGTATATCGAGGAGACCCTGTAAAAAGAAGATATTTGTGGTCAGGAGGAAATATTGATACTATAAATAATGCAGTTAGGATTGGAAAATCAGAAACAGAAAAAAAAATGAGAGAAATCTGGAACAAAAAGAGTTTATTTTAGAAAACTTCATCTCCTTTCTTACCTCTGGTGATAGCCAGAACCTCTGCTTGGTACTGCCCATTGACTATGTAGACTGAATCCCGGCTAATGACCTTGTTCAGGGTGATTTCACCAGTGTTTTGATTGATTCTGAACCAGGCAGCTGGATCACGTCCTATGCTATATCTGTGTTGGGTGAAGTAAAATTACTCAGCATTATGTTATGAATATATTTATTAATTATTTATTTTACAGATAAAATTTGGCACTTTGGAACATTTTTCTTTAGGCTCTGCTAGGTCCTATTGYATTTCACTCAGTTCAAGCAAAATCTGTGTAGACTCCAAAAGATGTAGTCCAGAAAAGTAATTAGGAATAAAGCAAGTGTGTAGAAGCCTATATTTTGTACTATAGAAAATTATATTTTGAAAGTAGCATCAAAATCTAAAAGCAAAAATTTTCTGGATCTTGTAAACCTTTACTAGTACCCTTGTTGATCCTGTAAACCTTTTCTAGAATCCTTGTTGATGACAGTGGTTAAATCCACAACTCTTCCTACAGCATTCTACAGTTTTATTTGCTAACACATTTCTCTATTTTATGAACTTCTAAAAGATATTTTTAAATAGGCTATATTTTTTTTTCTACATACACTGAAAAGCAAATTATGGTCCCAGTTATTATCGTTAATTTAAAGAAAAATAAGTGTAAATATTTTTTTTCTATAGAATTAGCTGGTAGTGACCTCTTCTATTCTGAGTGGATAATATGACCATTACTGGGATTTTGTGCCTGTTTTTTAAAGATGCTAACAACTTCTCTATTTGTAGCAAACTTTTCAAGAAAAAGTATTCTTAGACTGAGTTAGAAAAAGAACCCTTATTCTAATCTATCCAATTTACAGACTGTTAGAAAAATGATATTTTCTGTGTGTTTTGCATAAAGTTAATTAAAGTAGGTGAGGAAAGAAAAGCAGCTACAGCATAAAAATGGGCTGGAGAATATACTATTGCCATTTTTCTATTGCTAATCAATAAACGTTTTTTTCTAAGGCATCCTTTAAAATACCTATTCCTCATCCCACTGAAATCTCAAAAGAATTATTCCATTCAGGGAGTTAAGCAGAGCAGAGCTTACACAACGTTTGATGCGATAGCTCTGGTGTCCTCATCCATGGCTGTGTAGGTTCCTATAACATAATTCGCTTTTGCGCCATGTGCCAGGTTAAACACAACTGAAGATGGGTGAAATCTTGGTGGTTCAATCAAATTTTTTACTTCTATTGTGAGGGGTGTTCCAAATATTTGATAGTCCTGTGCGACAGAGTGGTGGAAGGCAGCTACATTCCTGACACCAATCATCAGTGAGTGACTTCGAAGCTGTTCATAATCCAGTTCCTAAAAGGTAAACCACAGAGAACTAGATAATAAAAAAAAGCTCCTTTAATTTTATTTAAATATTTTTTTTACTTTAAATAGTTGAGTGACAGTGTTTTTACTGCCTGTTTAATTCTGTTCACAATTAATTAAAATTTTAGGATGATTATTTTAAGAGCTGAATCACAATATTTATCCATACCTTAATTACTCTAAGGATTCCTTGATTTGTAGCTCGATCTGTAACAATTTCAAAACAGTTATCTTCATTACCGGATATAAAGAAAAACTCTGCTAACCAGTTGTCTGTAAACTCTTCATCAGCATCCAGAGCTTGTATTCGTAGCAGTTCTGAACTGAGAGAATTTTCTGAAATACTTGCTGAAAACTGGAATGACAGATAAATACCTATTAGCAAACATTAGATATATATAATGTGGGGAAAACACAGCTGTCTGCAGAGATGCTTTTGAAGGGTGTTTTGAACATAGTCGAGAACAATTTAATAAAAAAATATGCTTTCTGCTTAAACTGTGATTGTGGTTGCAGAGCTGAAAAGCTGTATCATCTCAAGAGTTTGCAGAGGATCTTAGAGGAAAAGGATTTGTGCTTTCTATGAGAAATAATCTTCCAAAGATTGGGTTAATCTAGATAATGTGGCTGTACTGTAGGAGTCTGGACACCTGAATGACTGGGTTTTTCTGAATGAGAGAAGCCAGTCCTGACAGTGTCATGATTGGCTTTTCTGGGAAAAAAAATTAAAAATCTATGTGTATGTTATCAGAACTGGGGCACAAGCAACAGATTGTATTTTGAGCACGCTTCCAGGGAACAACCCTGTTAACCCAGCGGATCATGGAAATGTAAAAGTTCTCTGTGGGTTAGTAAGGGCTCTGTTATCAATGGGACTTTTAAACAGTGTTTTAAAACAGTTTTGATATTGGAAACTTACAGAGCTTTGAGCAAGAGTTGGAAAGTTGTCATTAACATCAATGACTTTCACATTACAGCTACAAAGGGATGATATTCCATCTGCAGCCCCATCCCGGTCTGATGCTTTCACAACAAGAGTGTAGCTGCTATGTTGCTGTCACAAAAAGAGAAATAAATATATTGAAGACCATCTGTGCATCTAATAAACAACTCATATCTTACTACTGTTTCCTAGTGCAGGAATTTGACTTAGATGTTT